AAGGTCAAGTCGAGGTGAGTCCCAAGAGCTTCATTGCTGAACAGATTTGAGACTTGAGTGTTGGGTTTCTAGGCCCAGGACTGTCTGGGGTCTTTGAGTGGTCTCATGCAAGGTATGGGCAGTGCTAGAGAGTCTGGAGTTCCTGTTCCCAGCAGCCTCTTTTGAAACATGCATGGGAAGTGGAAAGTGCTCCTTCCATGGGGAGCGTGGAGTGAAGCTTCTGGATGTGGGTTGGCTGCTTGGAGATGTGCATGTCTGTGGAGAGCAGTTTGGGGATGCTGAGGAGGGAACGTTGAGTGCCTGCTACCTGTGCCACAAGATGCCTGGGCTGTGCAGATGCAGGGCAGTCATGGACCAGCTGTGAGAAATGCTTAGCACAGCTGAGTACCAGAACCCACCTATGTGGATGTGTTTCCTGCTCATCTGTAGCAGTGTAGTGGCTGAGACTAATGCTTGTGTCCCTTTGCTTTTTCCCTCAGTGAGCTGGAAGAGTCTCTCCTGGTGCTGCCTTTCTCCTATGTCCCTGACCTGCTCAGACTTTTCAATGAATATATTCAGCAGGGCTCAGATGTTGAGCTTCTGTGTCGAGCTCTCCTCTTCCTGCTCAAGTGAGTCCTTTATCTACCCAGACAGTATCTGGACTTGCTTCTGAGCCTCTGGGCCTGAAACTCTTGGGAACATCCTTGGGAATAAACACATGGTCTCTGCAGGAGATGAGCAATCTCTGCAGCCCACAGTGAATGGTGTGTGGGAATGAACTGCTTGATGCAGAGTGCTGACAAGCCCGGATGGGGATGCTGGTCTTGGTGGCCCAAGTCTCACTGGAATGAAAAAATCCCACATCAAGACTGATGAAGCATTGTTGGTGGCACAGAGTCACTGTAGAGCCTGTGTCCTCCAAAAGACCTTCCCCCTGAACCACTGTTAAACTTAAGAAAACAGCTTTTCCAGATAAATTTGTCCATGCCTGTCCATGTTCAGTGACTGGGGAAGACTAATTGAAAAAACCCTGTATGTCCAGAACATACAGAGGAGAGGGCCTTTGTTATTTCTAATATCAATGCTGCAATACACTGTCTACTTTGTTCCCAGGATACATTTTGGGCAGATCACAAGCAACCAGATGCTGGTGACAGTGATAGAAAATCTGAAGAAAACCACCATCTCCAGAGTCAGTGAGGCCCGGGTGAGTGTCGCACTCTCCCCTTTTCCAGGATGTAGAATCATGGGATAAGACAATGTTTGTGAGCATGAGTTGTCTGGGGTGTCCAGTGGGGAAGTTGGGTGGGGATCTGAGCTCATTTAAACTATCCTCTTTTGCAAACAGGCTGCATTTTCCTTATGTTCCTCCTCATGTGAGAATACCCCAGTGGTGAGCTTATACTTGTGCTCCCTGCCTCATTTGCACTTGGTTTTCTGATACATGTGCTTGGGTCTTGGCTTGCTAGTTTCTAAATCTGTGGGAGGTAAAGTAACTCCCTGTTTCTCTTGGGCTTTTCTGTGGGCTGCTACCTCAATGCAGACTCTGCATATTCCCATAGGAAGCTTCAGGTGCCTGTGAGCAACTTGTCTTTCAGAAAATGTGGTGGATTATAGCTGCTTTTAAGAGAGGACTGTGGGGAACTAAGTGCAGGACTGGCTGTTCTCCTGATCAGATGAAATTTACCTTTAAACTAATGTTGCTTTCTTTAAATCTGTGGATTGTCTTGTTTTCATCATCTCTTAGTAGAGGGTGGCCAGTGCAGGACTCTCTGCACCCTAACTAGCTTGGGATGTGCCTCACAGTGTGGTGCTGGTCTGTTTCTGCAGGATGTGCTGGGATTCAACATGGCAGGGCTCCAGTTCCTCAAGAGGGAGATTGAGGCCAAGGAGGAGGTGACATTTTTTGCTGATGCTACTGAACGTTTTGAGGAGAAGAAGAGAAAAAGGAAGAAGAAAGAAAAGATGGTTCTTGCAGTGCTCTAGCATTTGCTTCCCAAGACCCATAGCACCTGGATGGACTCATGTAGCCTCACTGCTGACCATGGAAGTGTTCTTGTGCCTGAACATCTGTGATGATGTCCAGTGGCTGGGACAAAGTCTGTCCCCTCCACATGTGGTATAACCCAGCATGTAAACCCAACTCACAATGGTTGTCTCTGAGATGAACTCTGTAGTCTGCTGCAGATGGATGCCTTTGGACTCTTTCTGAGGTAGCTGTCAAAGGCACAAGCTCTATCTCTAGTGCAATGCCTGTTAGAAATGGAGTTGATTTATCCTGAGTTCAGCTCGTTCTGGCAGTGTTGATTCAATGGAATCCAGTGCATGGACTGCTGATGAGACCATGCCTTAGTCCAGGATTAAAATCCTGGCAGGATTTTTCACTGACACCTGCTGGTGGCTTGTGGCCTATGGAAAAAGCTCTATGATTTCTGCTGAAGTGTGAGGACTTGATCTACAGCCACTCACTCTTTAGTGAGACAGGGAGAAACATGGCTGCACTCTATTAAAGGCATATTTATATTTACTTTGTGAGACAATTTTGTTAATAGTGTTTTGACCTGGTATTTCCTTTGTAAATCCTCAGTTGCCTTGGCCTGTGTATCAAAGGATTTTTTACAGAGAATAAAATCAGGCAAATGAAAGGCCTGCCATCCCAGATTGTGTTTTTCTGGAGAGCTGGCAGACCAAAGTGTGAGAAACCTGGATTGTTTGCCTTTTACTTGCTCCAGGCTTTAGAAATTGCACTGATTGTTTGCAATGTTGTGCTTGTCCTGTATCAGATAAAATGATTTATTTTCAGAATGGGGGCAGTGGAGCAGAATGGAGTGAACAAGTCTCTGCTACTGTAGTTATTAATTTATAGCACATGCTGTGTTTTTTTACCAGTGGTCAAGTCACTGGTTTGGGGGATGTGGTGGGGGCTGCTTCCGGATACTTTGCTGACTGTTGGGCTCACATGTCTGACTTAGGTACTCAAAGCTGAATCTAACTTGAGTTTCATATGGATTTTTAGTTGCATCCCAGTTGTGGCTGACTGCTGTCTGACTCAGGTTGTCTGTTACTAGCAGTTATGTCAAAGGCCAGCAGTTCAGTTGGTCATTCTCTAGGCAGCACCTCAGGTGTAACAACCATACCTCAGTTGTTCGTCAGTAACTTTGTCGGGATGATTGTTCACTTGCCTCTTCAGAGTCTGGGTAATTCACAGGAGCACGTTGTGCTCCATTTCCAGGTGATTTTCAGACTACAGAAATGGCAACTTTCATACAGTTCTTCCAGTTGTTTCACCTGAATCACAAGTTTCATCCATATCTGGACAAATATAAAATTATAGGGGCACCTGGAAACAGCTGCATTCAAACGTGACTCTATCCTGACTTATGCTGTTCTATTTCATTTTCTTCTGTTCTTTTCCTTTACTACTCCCCAAATAGACCCTCCTAAGAGGGATTACTAGGAGGAAGAGGAGGCACTGTAGGATGATACATTTTGTTGGTAAAGTCAGTTGACATCTGTTATCTACATTATCTGCTGCTGAAATGGGCCAGCCCGCTGGAAAAACAAGTGGTAGAGGTGGAGAGCTGGCTTGTGACACCACAGTGCACCCTCAGCTGAGGTGACTGAGGAGAGAAATGCCAAAACCAGGTACCAAAAGGGGAAGGCTGACTGCCTCTGTTTACCTTAATGACAGGGAAATAGATGTTATGGATGCTGTATAATGAACTGTTGTATGATGATCTCATGGGAGGCCTGGAAGAAAAGAACATGGCCATGGGCACATGAACTCAGGGACTGATGGGAAGGATGTAAATGGTGATACAGAAGAGTAGCTTGGGATGCAGTCATCTTATAATGACAGATATCCTCTGATCTAAGTTGGAAGAGGTGGAATTCCCTCACTTTTGTCTCTGCTGTCACTGGTATTAGGGAAGAATCCTTGGAGAAAAGGTCTTTTAGGTGTAGAAAAGTTGCTGTCTCTCCCTAGCTGCTGACACAGACTGCCCTCTTGAAGTTTCCCTGTGGTTCTCCAATTTGTATCACTTGTGACAGGTCTGTACTAATGCAGTACTTGGGTGGCTACTGACAGAGCCCAGCATGTGCTTTAAATGGAAGAGGTCTGTCCTGTGCCAAGTCCTCTGATAGGAATTTTAATATCCCTGGGGCATCAATTTGCCCTTTCTTGGGTGAAATTCACTGGATTTACAAATCTGAGCAGGAAAGCACCTTCAAGTACAGGGCAAGCTTAAATCTGTATTGTTAGAATATGTATCTCACCTAACAGTGTGGATGCGAGGGTTCAGAACTGGCATTCATATTTCACACTGGTGAAAGCTGCTGTTAATGGCCAGTCATGGGATTCTCAGTCACTGTGAAGTGTTGCGAGAACAAGTCATCTGCATGGATCAAGGAAAATTCCCCATCTCTCAGCATGTCACATGTTGGAAAAAGGATGAAGCACAGGAAAGGACCTTGTGAGAAATTAATTCATAAATCAGAAGCGGAGCTGCACTTGCACACACAAATATGAAGGCTCAGAAATAGCCTGTGATCTTTCTTTTAGTCATTGCTGTGTAGGTGGGAGCAAGGAGGGACAAAAGCCCATCTCTAAGTGGCTCAGTCTTCCACTATGAAGAGAGATGAGCAGGTGAACATTTGAATGTGCTCATGGTGACTGTGAACAAGAGGGTATAAGGATCCCTCTCTTGCCAAGTGTAACTTTGTGTACTTGCAACCCCCATCTGGTATGTTCAGTTTATTAAAGGCAGGTGAGCACACAGAACATAAAGCCTCTGATTGTGAAAGCAAACAAACTCAGGAATTAGAAGACAAGAGCAGGTCAACATTCCTGAAGAATCACAGTTGACTTGTGTTGAAACCTGGTGCAGTCCCAGTACTTGAAAAAGATTTCAGATGCCTCAGCACAGGTTATTAGAAACCTAATCCCTCTTGAAAACAAACTGTGTGGGAACCATCTTTCCACTGTTTGCATTTCAGACACCCATGTCAGGAGATTGTGCAACTTTTGGACCACCTTTCCCATTAATGGAAAAGGCAAAATATTTATTCTCATTTAATCTGATTAAACGAATGGAAAAATTACACTGAATGTTTCCATAAGGTTGAACTAAAATCTAGGTATTTCAGTGTTGCTGATCCTCATGTTGATCTTCTTGGGCTCTAACCTGTAGTGGAAGAAGACAGAAAATTAATATGAATGGAAGGAATAAAAAACAAGAAGAAATCCCAGCTCCACCTTTGTAGTTGTTGAACCAAACCTAATAATTATGTCCAGATTCTCTGCAAGTGCAAGTGTTGTGTGAGCGCTGTGATTGCAACAGACTGGCTTCAGATTTGGCCTTTTGCTGTTGGAAGGGAACAACAGCATGAGATGGAGTTCTTACACAGGCTTCAGGTAGATTAGGGGTTTGGTTTTATTGCACAAATTGAATGGTACGAAAATCACAACCACACATTCAGGATGGACAGTCTGCTTAGGAATACTGAAGACTTTCATGAGCAGCTTCCTGTGTGGTATTTAATTCTCAGTATGTAAAGAGAATCTTTCTGACATGATTTAAATATTGATGCGAAATAACTAAGGAAGTTAATGAGATAGGACTAAGTTTGGTCAGGTGATGCTTGATCAATGATTTTTGCTTGTTGGTCTCTGCTAGGAGGTGTGGCAAATTTGTGATCAAGTTTAATATTGCAGGGAGGTTTCCAGGTCTCAGTAGGGAGAATCACTGGCTCTGGTGATAGCCACCTGGGAAAAGTGACAGAAATTTCTCAGGATGCCTCTGCAGCGAATTGACTGTTTCTGTTCTGGATGGCTGAACAAGACTATTTAACCAGTAAGAGGATTTAACCTAGGAGTGTTGGTGTTCCATGTTGGTGAGACTAAACCAACCAATCCAGAGTTCCTTGGTATGTCTGAGATGGATATGGTTTTGGATATGGACATGAGTCCAGGAGACTTTGAGGGGAGGAATGTTCAAAGAGGCATTGGGTACAGTGGTTTGGGTAGCATGGGATAGCTGCAGCCAGCTTCAGTAGGAATTGTCAATTCACAAAAGACACTGTCAGAAGAGAAGGGAGGTTTGGCTGTGGTGACAGCAGCTATGATTAGGATTAGACATGTGAGAGGAGAATACTGTGTAATTAATTTCTGTCCCTTTGTGCTTGTCATGGAAGATGGCCCTGGTCAGAACTTCTCTTGGGACTGGGGGTGCCTCACTAAAATGTGAACTGAGTATTTCTCTTAGGTTTCAACATGGAGTGAGAGAAGTTTGTCTAAACTTCCTTCATGATGAGCTCCAGGTTGTAAATCCCTAAGGTGGAAGGCATTAAACCAGTTGTTTTTCTAGACTATAATTGTGTGTTACTTTGGGGGTAGAATAACACACTGGAAAAGGTAAGAAGATATTTAAATAGGAAAAAAAGGCCATACTTGATGTATACTGGGCAGTCCTAGAGCAGATGCAGCAGTCAGAGGCACATGTCTGTGAAGTTTTTGAGAACTGACTGATATGGTCACTTCTTTTTCTCCAGAGGAGAGGAAATGAGATACAGTTGGAATTTCTTTGCTGATTGGTTGGATAACATGGCAGGCTTACAGATGTTTATGTTGAAAGAAAAAGATGATGTCAATGTTGCACATATGAAGCAAACAGGGACTGGTCAGCTGAGGAGAGACATCCATAGGGTTCCCTGTTTATGAACTGTCACCATCATTAGTGTTGTGGAGTGTCTGAGCTCAGGGGGATGAGGTGAACACCAGCCTAATGTTAAACACATTGACTGCTGGTTTGTGAGAAATTCCCAGTAAGGCTTTCTTGTTGTCAGGGAAGACTTAATCATTCTAAGACACTCTTAGAAAGCCTCCAAAGGAGAGCTACAAAGATGGTGCAGGGCCTTGAGGGGAAGTGTGAGAAGTGGCTGAGGTCACTCGGTCTGTTCAGCCTGGAAGAGACTGAGGGGAGACCTCACTGCAGTCTTCAACATCCTCACGAGGGGAAGAGGAAGGGCAGACACTGATCTCTGCTGTCCAGTGACAGGACCCAAGGCCTGAGGTTGTGTCAGGGAACAGTTAGGATATCAGGAAAAGGTTCTTCACCCAAAGGGTGGCTGAGCACTGGAACAGGCTCCCCAGGGCAGTGGTCACAGCCCCAAGCCTGACAGAGTTCAAGAAGTGTTTGGACAACGCTCTCAGACACATGGTGTGATTCTCAGGATGTCCTCTGCAGAACTGGGCTTGATCTTTGCGAGTCCCTTCCAACTCAGGATATTCTGTGATTCTTCATGTAGACTGAATCTGTAAGGCTACAGAAATGTGCTGTATGAAACTGTGTGTGCACTGGGTTGTGTGTATTTGAACTTGTCACATTGAGGCTGCCCTATCTGTAAGACTCCTGTCCCTTATTAGACTTGCTGTCAGTGTCAGTGGGCCACTGGTAAGACTTAGTTTTAGAATGCGAAAAGTGTTAAAGAGAGACTGATTTATTAGGGCTTAACTGTAATAAATCCAGCTGCCAGGTTGTTCAAGGACTTGTTTAATGTGGAGACAGTAAGTGAAGGATTTGGGACAGGACTGAGGAGGCTTTGCTGTGAGTGCCTCTGATGAGCTGAGCAGTTGTAGTAACCTGCAGTCCCCTTGTAGTGAGTGCTTTGGTTAATGTCATCCAGTGTTTCCCTCCTCTTGTCACAGTAACCAAGTCAGCATGCTAGGTGCGTCATTTGCATGAACTTTGTTCAGGATGCTGCTGATAAAGTGAAGAGTAGGTAAAACAAGTGTACTTTAATTTACAGCTGGTGTCACTGCATGCAGTACTTACACTAACTTCAAAGCTTTCGTGGGAGTGTGATCCGTAACCGTGGCTTGGGGCTTGGAGGAAGTGCCTGGACTGCTGCTGCCATCCCTCCCTGGGGGTATCCTTCTGGGCGGCACCTATAAATGTCACTGGATAGCACAGGTGGAATACCATGTTAAGGATCTAACCATTTTGGTACATTTATTTCAGTAAAATAACCAGTGGAGGTAGCAATGAATTCTGGAAGTAAGGTTGTGAAACATGAATCTGGACTAGTGCCCTCAACTCAAAGATTAAAGGAACAGCTAAAATATGGGGGAAGGGCACATGTTTTGGAGGCTGGTCTGCAACTGTGTCTGAAGACTGGGTGACTGGGAACACAACAGCAGCTGGTTTTGCTGCTATGCCACTGGTCCTGTCTAGCTCAGCTCTGCAATTACAGGCATGAAAGGTTCCTTTGGGTCAATGCAAGTATATTTGGGGAGTTTCAATGTCACATCCAGAGCATATTAAGCCCCAGAGGAATTGCTGTTACTCTGGTCAGGGTCAGAGTATCCTGAAGTTCTCCTTTCTTTGGTAAGGGTGGTCCATACTCTGAATGAAGTTTCTGGCATGTTTAGATGTAGCTTGCCTTGCTATTTCTTTTATAGGTTTCCAGAGGACCCCTTCTCCCAGACTTCTAAGTGTAAATTTGATTAAAAGTCAAACAGAACTTCACCTGGAGCGCAAGGGAAATAAAAATAATAGCTACTGACTTGGCTCTTTTCTTTTACTGTACTGCTGTCATCAGTTAAACAACTGAAAAGCCCACTGAACCCATACAGGCTCATTTCTGGCAGCATTCATGTGCTTCTGTGCTTGCATTTTTGCTGCTTCAGGGATTGTCCCATTTGCCTGTTTAGTATCTGGATGATACATCATTTTGTTGCTCATGAGGCTGTACCACCAGATGCTACCACAGATTGAAAAACATAATAAAGTATTTTCATGAGGGGTGGTGGAAAAGAGTTTCTATTATTCACATTTAGTTTTCAAAAGCAACATTTTTCTGAGTTGCCATTCTTCTTTTCCTCACTTTTCAAACAATGTTATTCTGACGTGAACTGCGTGAACCTTAAATTGTTCATTTGTTGTGCTTTTGAAAACACCAATTTGTTTATTTCTGAAAAGGAGAGTAAAGCTTGCTACTGCAACAGTCTGCACTGGAAACAATGCTTGAGGCTTGCAACAGGAAGATAATCCCTAGGGTTGATGCTATGAGGTGTGTGAGAGAAATAAGACAACAAAGGATATTTGCTTTCACAGGCAGGAGAAGAGTTTCAGTTTCTGTTATTATTTCAATATTATGGGAAACTTCTTCAAGGCCACCAGTGTCTTTCCCTTCAAATAGCATGGCAAAAATCTCTATCTCCAGTTCAACCTGCAAGCCTGCTGCCACCTAGGAGAGACAGAGAATGACTCCCAGGTAAGGTGCAAGTTTCATACACGGTCCCCTCCCGCAGCCCTCGGAGCTGGTGGATGATGCCCCAAGCCTGTCAGTGTTAGAGGCATTTGGACAGTGTCTTTAATACTATGGTTTAACTTTTGGCTAGCCCTGAAGTGGTCAGGCAGTTGGACTAGAGGGCCATTGTATGTCCCTTCCAAATGAAATAAAATATTCTATTCTGTTCTAAAAAAGAACATAAAGGTAGGGAGGTACAAAAGGGGCAGATGTGAGGAAAAACAAAAGAATGGAAATTATTCCAGCCATCTAGATGGATTTCTCTAAGGCCTCTGACACAGTCCTCCACACCATCCTTCTCTCTCAATTGGGGCCTTTAAAGATTCCTTCCAACCCACACTATCCTATGATTTCAAGTAGCGTGTTGTGGCTAAGGCTCTGGACTAGGAGGTTTGACTTGCATTCTGGCACTACCTCTGCACAAGTCATTGCTTCTTGATTCCATGCATTGGCAAGACATTGCCAGGTATTATGTGGATGCTGTGGGGACAGTGGCCAGCACTATTTATTCAGAGATAGCACACAGGTAAAAAGAGAGACTGAACAAAAGCAGAAAGCATGACAGCTTCCTATGTAGTGAGATAATGTGCTATGGTGCTTTGCTAGATAAAAATCTTAAGGTGGAGAACAGCTGGAAGCAGGAGAAGAAAGGATTGAGGCAATAGTTTACTAGGTTCAAATCCTGAAGATATCAGGACAAGAAGTTAAGTCTAAGTATAAGACAGAGCAGATACAACAAACACCCTAAGCAGAAGGGAAAACTCAGAGGCACCTGAGTGGTAGAGTAATCCTGTTTGCTTTGAAAAAGCTCTCTATAACTTCACTGCTTGATCTGCTGCTTTCCACTGAACTGAACATTTTTATCCCTCTGCATTCTGGCACAGGCTGAGACTTGAGTGCATGGAGTGCTTAGCTGAAGGTGGCAGAGGGACGGTGGAAGACAGTATCACTTCAAATAACTTTAAACAAAACTCTGTACCCTGGCAGCTCTATTCCCAGACAGCTGCTGTCCCAGAAAGGTGCCCTAGCTGGCCTGAGGGCCAGCTGAGTCTAGAAAAAAACCCAAAAGCTCTCCTGTGTAACCTACAGGTCGTGGTGTGTACATCACTCTCAGTCCTGTGTGTGGAGGTGGCTGCTTCACCCGAAACCTGTCAGAAAGAGAAGAGAATCAGTTTGCCAGAAACTGTTTCAGGTAGGAGAAATCTCATCTAGGCAGTCTGCTCTTCCTCTGCTTTTTTAAATGACAGCAGAATTTCTTAACTCATCCTTTCCATCATAATGTACAAGTTGGACTACAGCAATTCCTGGGCTTCTTGCCAAGGCTCAGGTTTCTAACAAAAAAAAACCCAAAGGAGCAGATGAATGGGCCAAAGTAAGCTTTCAAAGAGCTTGTTAACACTGCCTGGTTCTTATAACAGAATGTGAAACAGCAGCATTTTAAATCTGCACATTCAAAGGTAGCTGAAGTACAAACAGCTTCTTGGCAAACACCTGTGTGTTGCAGACCCAAAAGCCCATACCAATATTTACTTAATGTCCTTTGATGTGATTCTATTGCAGAAAGCATGATACTGGTAGGAATTTTGTGCAAATAATCTTTAATTAAACAGTACCAATTAAAGCAGAAGTCTTGCTTCCTCATTTCTTACTGATTGTTTCACATCTGAGATTCAGTCCTTTTGTGAATGCAACTTCCTACTGTTCAGGTTTTTAAAGATCATTAGATCAGATATGACCTTTACTTTTGCATTGCTCTGGAACTGATCCTGTGGATTTCATTCCCCTCTGAAGAACAGTTTACCAGCGTGACCTTGCACTAGAAGCTGTTAAAGGAAAGGCAGTAGAAGAGGCATTCCTAGGATATGGCTCCATCTTATGGAAAGCTCTGGCAGACCTATGACGTGGCTGTCAGAATTCCTGTGCTTTCTCTGAGTGGTGGGTCCAGAGAAACTGTACTTGATTTTTGTCAGGATTCATTTGGAGAGATTAAAAACAGGGTACTAAGAATTCAAACTTGTGGATGTGACAGCCATGTCAGAGAGCAAGAAAACAGAATTTGTTTTCTCACAGCGGACTTGTGACACTTTTCAGGGAGTTGTAGAGAAATGATGATAACTTGTTAGCATAAACAACCTGCAGGTGGTGTTTTCCTACTCTGTTTTTCTGTTCTTCTCAAGGACTGTTTGTAAGAAAGAAGTTTTTGTTAATTAGCCAATCAAGAAGAATGTGTTGAACCTACCTATAAAAGAGAATTTTCATATTAAAGGGGTGTTCTGCAAACCAGCCTTCCGGTGAATTTGTGTCATTTCTTGCTCAACTAACCTTGAGAAGTTCACACCAACATTCTTCATGATTACAGTGGTTGCATAGGTGCAGCCCTCCTTTAGCACTCCAAATGTCACCTTGGGTGGGATGAGATGGAAGTTGGTAAGATCTTGTCTTGTTGCAACAGAAGATGTGCTGACCTTTCCTGAGGCAGGATCTTCCATCTTTGCAAACAAAATATGAGACAAAGAGAAAGTTGGTGGCCATTAAGGCAGGTAGAGAATTACTTAACCTATATTTGACCTCTGTCCATTCACTCTGAAGAATTACAAAAAGACATCCTGATTTAAGTAAAAACTGAAGCAGCACTTTGAATACTGTCTGGAAATTTATACTGGTTTGAGTTTTCAGATGCATGAAGCCACTGAGGTGTCTCAGGGAAAATGGGGGAAACTCTGCTCTTTTGGAAACAGAGCTTTCATGTAGGTGCCTAATGCAGAATGAGTTTTTCCTAGCAGTTGAGAGGAAAGGTACTTCTAGAGTTGCCAATAAACACAAATAAATTTCAACAGCCATGTTACAGTAAATAGATTCAAAATACCTTCCTGTATTGCTCCAGGGTGAAGGTTTTATGGAAAAGAGATTACTCAGATGATATGAATATTGACAAGAAAGATGTTATTTTTTACCTTTTTATTTGGTATGGTGATTGGTTTTTTCCCCTGAAAGTATGATGGTAATAGTACTTTCTCTTTTCTTGTCTGTCCTGTAACATCTACCATCCGACTTGGAACTTTATGTTGAAAGGCTGTCTCTTCTGCTCTTGCAGCCTTGTTTAGGTCTGGAAGGGAAAGATTTCCAAAAGCATGAAAAAGTAACAGATGGATTGAAATTCATATTGCAAATATTGTGTCAGAAGTTGTAAAAAGATAGCAAGCTGCTCCAACTACATTCTGGAAGGCAGGTGTACCTGTTGTGCTGCTGGGACCATCATCTTGTTTGGAGGAATCCTGTAGTGGAGGGCCAGATGAAAGTGATGAATCACTTGTGGTATCAAGAAATTCAGCTGCTAAAGGGAAAATAATGGAATACTGAGTCAAGTGTTTTTTATGATCACCATCATTTTCATAAACATGTGAAAAACAATGTCAGCCTTTGGCACTTTAATTTACACAATCTTGGAAAGCTGCTACATAACCATGAGAGGCTGGGAAAATTCTGCATGCAACGTTTTGCTCTACTGGGCCACAGGGATCTCAAAAATGCCTATTGTGTGATTAGTAATTTCTTGTCCTCTGGCTAACTGAACTATAAGCCATAAAGCACTAAAAGACAATCCAGCACAGGTCTTATGGTGATTGAAAATGAGGAAATATGGGAATTAGTGGGGGTCTGATAAAGCCCCCCAGAGGACTATTTTCCTGACATGAATCTTTGCTGTGTTCGACTTTTAATCTCACTGTATGATTTCAGTAACTTGTCAGGGCTGCTTTTTAAACAGAACTGAAGTATTCCCCTCAGATCTGAAAAGCTGAAGCCTAAGATAATGATTGCTTCTTTCCCTGCTTCCTGTCATGGAGTCACTGCTTTCCTCCTGTGTCCTCCAGTCTGTCTTTAGCCTGCATGTCTCCTATTCCACATTGCTTTTGCACCAGTTCCTCTTACCACTGAGTTTCAGAAATAAATCTCCCATATTTTTCCTACAGCCATACTAGTTATTTTCAAAACTTGGCCTCCTTGGTTCTTGCTCATCCACCCCTAACTATTATTTATTCTAGTCAAGATTTTCCTGAGCACTTTTGATCTATCCAGTTCTCATTTATAGCACAATTCTTCAGCTTAGCATCCGAAACTGATAGTTCTTCCACATTCAGTGATGTCTGCAAGGGCTTCTTCCTCCTGAAGAAGATACAAAACTGATGCCAGGCAGTCGATTACCTCCACTGGGTTCTTTTAACAACCACAGAGGCTGAGTCTCACTTCTTTCTTTTTGAAGTGGAGGAAGTTCCTTAGACATTGTCTCCAAATCAGGAAACTGGAGAAAAGGAAGAAAGAGGCCTTAGGTTTCGCAACTAAACACCTAGGAAAACCAGCCAGCAGACACTCTCCTCCCCTTGCAAAAAAAAAGAAAGGAAAACATTTTAAAAAAAGGAACACAAAGGAAACAAATACGCAGAACCAAAGTGGTGACTATAAAAGACATATAAATAGTTACATCAGATTGTAACCTACATTTCTGAGTAGGCTTTATGCATTTACAGCATTTACCAGCAGAAAAGCCCCCAAGATCACCTCTAAATTAGGAGTGTCAGTTTTACTTATTACCTTTCTAATAAGCAAGGAGAGGGGTTTGAGGGGTAAGTAAAAAAAACCTGAAGTTGAGCTTTGCTCTGAATCAGGCTCTCTCCAGAGTTTATGTAAGGAATTTTATAGAGTTTCTACTCAGTGAACATACACCATCTCCAGGACATGTTTCCTTTACAAGGGTGTATAATTTCTAGTATTAATTCTGCCATGGTTGTCTTATGTAATGGTTTGTTGAGATAAACAGAGGCTGAGATATAAACCTACAAGGGTGTATAATTTCTAGTATTAATTCTGCCATGGTTGTCTTTTGTAATGGTTTGAGATAAACAGAGGGTGAGATATAAACTCAAAATTGTCTTTGGGAGCATGGGAGATACTAGCTGGCCTAACAGACTTCATCCAGTTTTCAGCGGCCTTACCTTTTCTCGGTAAAAGTCTCTGGCAAATTCAGATTGAAAATATGGAGCAAAAATTCTGTTTTTCATTGCTGCAAATAAAGCCTTCTGTTCATCCAGTTCTTTCCTAGGGATGTTTTTCACATTGTTGGTAAGGAAAAGAAAGAAAAAGTCATTGTAACTGAGTTCACCCTGTTTTTCAGTATTGTGCATCAAGAAATGGATTTGGTAAAGGCAAGTGGCATTTTCTTCCCTGGTTCATCACATGAAGTAATATTTTTGTAATTGGCAATTTTCTTGGAGGTGAATTAAGAACTGACTGGGTGGAATGCACATGGACACACGGACAGCTATGTGGAGCTCCTCCTCAGAACATACTCCATTTCTCTAAACCTCATGGAACATGTCTGGGACTGCCACTGGTGTCTTTCCAACCTTCCGACAAACACTTCAAGCTAAGAATTGGTATTCCAAATGCATTGCTCAAATTTTGAACACAAAACTCATCTGATTTCTTTATCACAGAAAGACTTGTCGGCTCTGTGGATACAGAAGAAGCTATTCAAACTTCTAAAGGTAAGGTTGACCAGAGTAAAGATCAGTCATGTTTTCAGCTTGATATAGCCCAGTTTTACACTACTAGTATTTCACTGATTTGCAGGGTCTCATATCAGCTACTAAATGATCAGTCTTAATCATATTGAGAGTTTTAACACTGGTTTTAGAGCCAGAATTGCACATTGTGTTCTTGGGTGCTGACTGCTCAGATTTATATATTTAAATCATTTTTAAGAGGATCCAAACCAGTGTGAAATGCTGTATTAAAATGTAACTCTTAAATTCGAAATGGTTTTTTTATCTCATGCAAATCAGAACATAATTAAGAAGCAATATGGAAAGCCTCACATGGAGTGCTGTGTCCACTTTTGACCTGTCTGGTGCACAAAAGGGCCACGAAGATGATTAAGGTTTGGAAGACCCTTCATGTGAGTACAGGCTGAGAGAGCTAGGACAATTTCGCCTAGAGAAGCTTTGATGCACCAACATGTGAGACGTGTCTGGAGTTCTATTTGAAAAAAATCAGCTTTTATTTATGGAATACCTGAATCTTAACCTAAAGCAGCAGCATCTGAAAATATTAATACACAGTATTTTCTACACTAGTGGCAGAACCAGAAAACAAAACACAGGGCTTCTGACTTCAGCCTTGGTTTGCATAGTATAAGTTAACAGTAATGCTGCTGGGTTTTGGAAAAAAAAAAAGATAAAAGAAAGAGACTCAAACCATTTATTAAGCATTTCTGTTGAGCAGAAAATACCCCATTATTTGCAGGCAAGCCATTGCACCATCACCCAAGACCTGGTGAAATCAATAACATTCTTTACAAAAGCAGATTAAGCTGGCTCATAAAAGAACTTGATCCTACTAATATTATTACCTGTTCTGTTCCAGCTTGCTTTTCCACTTGGATGATACTCTTTCTAGACTGAATCGCCCGGAATTAAAAAAGAGAGAGTAGTGGGAATGAGAAAACTAGTAGTCTTCTATAAATACAAAAATATTTACATGATAACCCTGGAAAGAAAATGCTTTTTAGGACAATATGTTATGTAAACACTTCAGGTGGCTTCTAACTCAGACTTGTATGGTTTGCACAAAAATTGTTTGCTCATATCTGCATTTTTATTAGATCATCCAATCCAAGAAACATCCAAAATCCTTTCCCAACAACATCTGAATTATCTTTCAGATATGGAAAGAGAGCCGTAGAGGGACAAAATAATCACATGACACGACAGTAAAACACTGCCATATGTATCTTGGGATCTAGGTCCCAGTCCTTAATGACAGTCAGTAAAGCACAGTGCCTTCCCTGTGTGCTTGCCTTCGCCCTTTGTGTTATTTACATTTGCACCTGTCCTTGCTGCTCTGTCCTACCTCTGCTGCTGGTCCTTTCTTTGTGCAGTGCTTGTCTTCTCTGTGTGATCCTGGGCAGGAGGAGCCACTGCCTGCTCATACAGCTGGCTCACATGGTCTGCAAGGTGAAGGGCATTACTGAATGGGTGTGCTCTGCTACGCAGTGCTAGGTGTTACGAAAAAAAAATATCAAAGGATATGTTTTTTAAATGCATCTTTCTGCCACTTTATAGAAACCCAACAGAGTCTTTGTTACTGTGAGGGAAAAGGCAGAAAGAACTTCAATCCAAAATCAAGATCAGAACATTAACAGATAAGAAATTGAATTCAATATTGAAAGGACAAGAAGCAGATTAAGTTCACACTCCCACCCTGTATTCCCTGACATATCTTTACGTTCTTTCAAGACACAAATACCTGTGAACAGGAAAAGTTGCTGACATTCAGCCACTCTCTGACTGGGGTGCTCTGAGGTCTCTATCCACAGCTGAAGAAAATAACGTGGGCTTTCAGGGACCCTTATTACATTTAGCTTGATTAAGCTTGCTTGTGCTTAATTGAGGCTGCGAAGCAGCCATAATCAACATTCTCATGGAAGGAACTGCTAGTTCAATATGTATAATGGAGAAATGCCAGCCTTTCCACATTTAATACTGTGACCAGCTCTGGGGCTTTAGTAAAGAGTTGCCCTGTCCTCTGACATATTTTATAAAGTGTGTTGTTTACTTTATACCTTGAAGCTAAGTCATGGGTCCAAAGAAATTTCCTTGGCTGAAAACAATTTTCTGTGGCAAAATTTAGGAGATGTGAGTATTTGAGAGATATGATCCTATTAGACTATGACAATATCTCTTAGTGGTCTGGTAATTACATGAGTTCAAACTTCAAAATGTGGGGGTTTTTGGTCAGCTTTTTCATCATAAAATATGATTTTATTTTTCAGCTTTTTCTATTTTTACCTATTTCAAAGAGCTTTTCTTTCCCACTATCTTCTTCATTAGCAATATTACATTAAAATTGCAGCTCCATTTAAGAGGAAACTGTTCAGCAAGCATGTGCTGCAGCAGTTTCTGTTCACTTTACACAGTATGAGGTTTTTTGACAAGTAGAAGTACTCTTGACAAGGAAAATAACACTTTAAAGATGAGCATCACTATGGGATAAAATGTAATGAATTTTTCTACAGAAAAGGCTTATAGGTTTTTATAAAGAAACAGACATCTTAGCTTTTATTTGTACATATTGAAAATATTAATCAATGCTAACAAATATCTTGTGAACTTTAACTGAAATCCATAGTACATTGCTCCATCTTTTCCCTTAGGTAGGTGAATGTAACCCCAACACATGATGGTTTGAGATTTTGCAGTGTAATAAATAACCAGGATTTACTTAGTTGCTTTGAAAAACTTGTCTGAAAAATTGTTACTTATATAAAAGTAGCCAAGTACTGTCATAGCTCTTACAACTACATTTCATTACATGTGAAAATGTGAGTAAAAATGTCAAATACACATGCCTGAAACCAGGAATTATTTTTCAGAGGTACTAGATCATTGATGCTAAGAAGTCCTAATCACTTGTGAGAGTCACATAGAAGCATGTACATAGTACATAGATGAATTCACCTTTATATTGCCTCTTTAAAAATAATAGTACAATACTTTTAAACTTATGATATTTTCAATTTTAAAAATACAGGTATTCAATTTTTTGTTACCTTTATCACTGAGTTTTTCAGTTGATTTCTCCCAGTCAGGAAAGGCCTGCAATGAAGAAGGAATAACTGTGAGCACATAAAAACTAAAGTTCACAACAACATCTTATTCAGAGGATTTATATTATAAACAAGTGCTATCTTGTTATGCCCATTCTTGTAGTCACATTGTCAGGTATTTCAGTGTGTCAGAAAACATAAGCTGGGAAAAAAGGATATGAAGTACAATTTCCCTGTTCAAAAGAGGTATTTGTTTCCTTCTTGATGACCCACTGCATCGATAGCTTTGTATTTTATATGGTTACTTTTTATTAGGTCAACTAAACTAATTCCTAATCAAATTCAAATCCTTCTGCAACTTTACTTACTTATATTGTATTAAACAATATACTTATAGATATACTTATATTGTATTAAGCTTAGATTGCCAACAGGTCAAATGGGAAATGTGTTCAGGAGTTTGCAGGCTTTGTTACTGAGGAGATCTCATGTGGCTGGCTTACAGTAAAGTGAATGAGGGTTAAAAGGCTCTGAAGTGTTTCCTTTATTCTCATGCTGTCTCTGAAGCAGTTAACTGGAAACCAGAGCTCCTGACCAGCCAGTCTGGGTTGTAACAGATCTATTGGAGACTTGGGAGCAATGTGACACTGATTCCTGGGTCACAGCAGGCACACACTGAGACTGCTGCTCACAAAAGAGTTGTCCAATGTGAAATCTGTAACTAGAAATGAAGGTGCTGAAGGTAGCCAGGACAAGCAACAATAATTAGTCACTAGGCAAGTTCACTGGGTCTGAGCAGCATGTGAGATTCAGCACCTGGGCCTCACTGAAGTAAATAAATGTCTGCCTAGAGAACAGATGCAGATGGAACTACTGACAAATCATTTCTTTGTCCCTTTTTCCAGAAAAGCTGTGATCCTTTTCTATTTACCCACCTTTCCCATTACCTATTCCTCCCCTTTTTCTTTTTGTGCTCTAATTATCCATGAAAATTTGCAGATTATATTTAAAAAAAAAACCAAAATGCTCCTCAGCAGTAATAACAATATTCCTCCAGACTGTTTCCGTATTATCCCAAAAGCAGGGTTTAAATTCTTACTATGGAGGTGGCTGTGGTTGAAATAAAAGTCTCCCATGTGCAATGACAACAGACTGGAAACATTTTCATCCTGATGTTGGGGGATATTAAAAAAAGTAAATTACTGGAAAGTAATTTTGGTCTGTGTGTTTGGGAACATATCATTCAGTAGAGCCAGACTCTTGAACTGTTTTGAGCATTGCTTCCCCAAATGGCAGCAGTGCCCAGCTGAATTCAGACCAGCTGAAGGCTGAGTGTGGCTCTGCTTTACCACTAATCTGCACCAGAACTGGCACTGTGCTACTCTGACACTTGCTGGTTTATTAATGGGTAATGTGTTTCAAGACTCACACTTCCAATGCAATACAAGGGTTTTGTTGAAAGAAATACTTAAAAATTTGATTTTTCTCACTGTAACCTGTTCAAGGAGACTTGCAGCATTCTCCTTTTCCTCTTCTGTTCTTGGTTCTTTCACATTCATCTCTTCCAGCTCATTTTCCTGCTTTAAGACATTGTCTATGTATTCCTGGTGGAACAATGAAAAAGAAGAAGAAAGATGCAGATGTAGGCTTAAAATAGATATTTACATTGACATAATCATACCAACTGCTACAGAAAAGAAGCACATTTCTTTTCCTACATCTTTTTAAATTAGTTGGATAGAAAAAAGTGTTTTAAACACACCACTCTGCCAGAAAGCTACATGCACCAAACTTTACTAAAAGACAGGTTTGTAGAAACAATGGTTCCAGTGCCAGTTCTTTCTCACTTGTTTATATCTCTTTAATCTTATAGGAGATGGAGAAAAGAAGAATATTTTCCTTAAATCTTGATTTTGCTCTGACAAAGGGAAGGAGTGGCTAAAGATTTAAGATACTTCATTCTGGAAAAAAAGAGAATTGATTAAATATTGCTTTATGAGCAATGAGGGTATTTTCGTTGCAGATTTATGCAATTATTACAACTGTTTTTTTTCAGTGCTAATAATTGCAGTTCTTCCTTCCCAGTGTAATAAACAGCATTCATCTTTCTCTAAAAATCAACAACAGATCTGGGCAATGGAAAGACCTTCCTGGCCATTTTGGTGTGGAACTTTTCTTACAGTGCTGCCTTTGAAAGGTCAGTATGCAAATTAAAGAATAATTTTCATATATTTATAGTCTGAAAATGGTAACATTTCATTCTGATAGACTTGCATATCCCAAACATGTCTGGGCTGGGCAGCTGTCAGTGTTTTTCTATTGCAAGCATGTTTTATTTGAAATGTAATGTGGAGGAAAAAAATTATATAAATGGCTACAATATGCTACTACATTCACACATTTCACATGCTGTTAACTCTCAAATTCAATCTGCAATGCCATTATCAAAATAGGTTAAATTAATAAATTACAGGACACATATGTTTTGTTATTCTCTAATTCTTAAGTAATAATGGGGTTTTGACTCTGAAATCTCTTCTAAGAACATCTTCACAATGCAAATTAAATAAAGGAATGTTTTACCCGAGCACTGAGAAGAGCAAAGCTGCTCACTTGTGGACACCATCTCAAAACACTGGCATAGGAGGTCTAGCTTGCACCCTGCTAGTAACAAGTCACTAATGAGGGATGACCACAAACCTTGTCAGAAGGCTAAATAGCTATTTCCTAGACACAGATAGAGTAACAAACTCAGACTGAAACCTGGAAATGTTCTACACTGATTTATGAAAACAAATACATAACCAAGACCAGAGTGTGTCTCAGTGACCAAGTTACTTGTAGAATTATGGTGAGCTACAAATTCTTGTTCAATGTTATAGATTTAAATTCTTAAGACTTTTTGAAGGAAAACAAACCCTAAGCAAAATAAAAGCGAAGTAACAGATATCAATATTGACAGCAAGGAAATTATATGTTAGAGTACTGTCTGTGATGTAAACTGGATTGGATCTCATGTATTTGCTCAGAAAACTAGGTTTCATAAGAGGTAAATGAAACAATGGAACCTTTTCAGAAAAACACAACACCTATGTATGAAATAATTGTTCTTCAAGCATAATAGATTTTTCTCAGGTATGTATTACACATTTATCACACCCAATTCATCTACTTGTTTATTCTCTATTGCTTACTGGAAAAATGAATAACTGTGGTTGAACTACCTTGAGGGAAAGCTGCAGTTTTTCTCTTAGTTCATCACAGAGTGGCTTATACTGGAATAGCTGTCGGATTTGCAGTTTTTTGGGACATTTTCGCACAGGGACTGGCAAGGACAAACATGCTGCTCCAATGCTGAGACCCTTCCGGGCACTCCTTCTGACTGGGTGGCTTGTGATCTTCCCCTGAACAGAGAGGAGCAAACAAAAGAGCAAGAGGCTTCTTACATACCCAAAAATGCAGCTGTTGGCAATGTGTCTCACTTTGAAAGTGTGTGCTCTCCTTATAGAATCATAGACTTGGACAATAAAGCCAGTAGATTCCTGGGAACAATTAATCTATCCTAAAGCATCTTCATCTGGTAAGATAAACTCCCCTTAAAACTGCTATCTCCCCTCACTAAGTGTAAAAGAATGGGACCATACATTCCCTGACACAGCCTACCCTTTGCTCTGTCTGCTCAATAAACTGAATTTAACATTCACACTGTTTACTTTCATTTCCCCACAGAGACAAACATCTGTTGCTTTAACATGAAAAGACAGTTTTGAAACAATTATACCTCAGGAGGAGAAGATTCTTCCTGAGTCACTGACTGAAGATATAGAGGAACAATACACTCTGGTTCTTTCTTCATTACCCAGGGGGACGCTTCAGCCATAGGGCGGAGGACAGTAATACTTACAACACCTGGTTTAAAGACACATTTTGCTAAGAATCAGTTCAAATTAAAAATAAAATAAGTGTCTCAGACCTACAGAAAAAAACACCTATCTACAAAATATCTTATTACTAACAGATAAAACTCCATGTATCCATGGCTACAGATAATATCAGATCACTGAGTTGATTATGGAATAGTGGTACAAGTTCAGATTACTCAGCCCATTTTTAACAATAAACTGTTTATGCTACTTCCTTTGATTCTTGGTTAACAGCTCAGTTGTATAGTGTGGGTAGTAGCCCAAACAAGGAAGAGCAGAGCATTGACCCATGTGTACTGAATACTAACCTCAGAAGTAGGACAACAAATTCAGAACATGTATAATTCTTCACTGTATTTCATATTTCATACCCTGATCACTGGAAGGATTCCATTAGATATGATTTATTTGTATTGTTTGCATAAATTTTAATGTTCTTCAAAATATTTTTTCCAGCCCAATACAAAAATTACTTAAGCTACTATGATCTATCCCACTGGTGAACTTCAAAATGAATATCACCACTGAGGTACTTTGTCACAATGATACAAAATTGTGAAGCCTTGCTGTAAAGGCAAATACAGCCAGCATTGTGAAAGGTGGAGCAGGAAGTCTGGAAAACCAGACGTGCTACTATTACAAATGATTGCTGGTTGTAAGTAAATTTTCTTGACTGGGATTTTGACTGGGTATGTATGCTCTCCATCTTTCTGATCTTTTAATCTTCTGCATTTTTCTGGCTCCCTCCATGTCCCTTCATTTTTTTCTATTTTCCCATGGCAGAATGACTTCACTTGGTTTCTAAAATGGAAACCAGTCATTTGTGTGAATAAAAGTACATTTAAAAATGTGCCACACTTTATAAGAGTAGTAAGCGGGAAAGCTGTTTTATGTCATATGCTTATGACATAAATCTATGAGAAATACGTCCTAGGACTTTATGGCTTTAAGCAAACTTCCCTTCTCATCCCCTTATATCCAGAGGAACCATATTGTCTTCTCTTTTAAAGGTATTTTTTTGTTAGCATCTACCTGTTACACCACAGTGTCTTTTATAGAAACACAGCATCTCCAGCTACCTTACAATGACAACCAACAATTCCAGGATGTAATTTCTTGCATTGCTACTACAAGGTGGTTGGTACCGTGTAGCACTGGCTATTTCAGTCATGTTTTTCCAGCTTTTTAATATGTATCCTTTCCAACAGACAGCCTAAAGGTCAACACCAGGGCATCACTCTCCCCATTGCTACATCACTAATGAATACAGTGATACACTCAAGTTTTAAAATTATAAACACAAAGAATATATTTATTTGGTAATCACTTTTATTTGTGTGACTGAGAGTGGATAAAGATATGCCATTTGTTAGTTGACTTATCCCTTAACAGCATCCTTCAGTTAATTCTCTGCTTCCCAGAGTTTTTCCCCAAACTCCTTTCATTCACTCCTAGAAGTGTGGATCCTTATTTACAAGGGTAAAAACATCTCCTGCCCAAATAAGAGTTTTGAGACTTTTCAATTCTTTCTATTAGTAGTCTGTCAGAGAAGAAACATTTTCTACCTGGCTGTTCTTGTACAGGATTCTTCAAGACTGCAGTGGCAGGATCACTGCAGGCCTCAGCCAGATACTTGTGTACATCCTTTGTTCGCAGGAGCTCCGTTCCAGAACCATCCTCAGCGATGATGAAAAACCTGCACAGCCAAACACACACATGGGGCTCTATCAAGAGAGCAGAACTCCAGCGTGATGGCATCCATTGTGCAAATACAGAGTACTGAATGAAGGGAGCACAAATCCATGAACCCTGTAAAATACTGTGTAGTGAAGAAAAGAAAGTGTTAACCTATGAGTGCAATGCAGTTTACCTGGGGACATGCTCATTATCAGTGACAGGTTTGTTAACATCATCTGCTGCTGAACTCCTGTCCTCCTTGCCATTAGAGCCACTGCTGGGAATGCACACATCTGTGCTGCCATCAACCAGGACCTATAGCAGAAATTATGTGAAATTACTTGAGTTAAAAGATCCTTTTAAAACAGTGACTTGCTGGTGAACTTTAATATAACCTAGCCCAGTGAAAGAGACAGAAAAAAACATTTCATGCTGAGCGAATGGAAACTCACAGGAAAAAGAAATAAAGAGGAAAACTGAAAAGACAGTAAAATCCCCAAAACATTTCTCGAAAGACATGCTGTATCATAAATACTAATATCACATGCTGATCCTTAATAAATTCCCAAGGACTGTCACACAAAAATACTCACTCACTGGTGAAGCCAGGTAACTGTATACTCAAGACAGACATTGATGTATACCAACTGAGTGAACTTCTACAGTATTTTCCTTCTTGAAAATACTATGTGGTTATTAACTAATATGACATTAACATATTCAAACAAGATAACTAACAATGACCTAAAAAGGAATAATAATGCGTTTTTCAAGATACAAATTAAATAAGGGAGATTCAAAGGACAGTCCATGAATTGAATCTGACACACCTAGTTTTTAATCCTCACTTGCAGAGCTGATTATTTGCTATAGTACAAATCAGGCTAATTAAAGGAACTTTACAGGTGAGCTAAATTGTACACCACGTGCTCTGTTTCAGTCTCTCTAAAAAGGGATAGATGTAAAAAAAAGGATATCCATCACTTAGTCAAGAAGACATGAGAGACCTGGTTCTGGCTACTTTATATATTACAAGGTTACAATTTGACTTTGAGAGAAGTTTATAAGATAAAATTAGAATTCAGAAACTTGTTTTCTTCTATGTATTTTACCTTGAAAATATTTCCTGCAGGATCCATCATCTCACAAATAGTGCTGGAAGTGTGTTTCATAACATATCTCCCTGCTTGTTTCTCTTCTTCCTTGCTGCTGAAATCATAAACTTCATGGCTATAAACTGCGGAGCAATCTTCATCAAAGAAAAGAAAGCCTCCCTTGCTGGGTAAAACCTATGACAGCAAAAAGGGAAGAGATTCAATCCTCAAAGGTAAAAAGTTTAATTTAAATGTACTGTGAAAACGAAGAACAGATACAAATCAAGAGAACAGCTTCCAGACATTCAATACTGAATCATCCACTTCAGAGGAATCAAAGGAGGAGAAAGAAGGAAGATGAGGTCCAAGAGGTAGGCTGATCTGAGCCTCTGTAATATTCACCTTCAGGAAATTTAAGACTGTGATTTAAATATACTGTACATTTGTAAGTACCTAAACATTGGCAGAGTATGAAAGAGATGGAATAATAGGGATTAGTGAAGACTATAGAGAAGGGAGGTAATGAAGGTGAGAGCTGCCAATGGCAGGGAACTTGGAACACAAAGATTAAACGTCACTGTCACAAACTAAAAATAATTCCCACCTGGTATGTTCCCTGTGGCTTTGCTAGAATAGATGTCCCATCTCCAAAGATAGTACAACAGGTACCATCCTCACAATTTGTTAAAACAGTAGCAAACTCAGGATTCTCTACTCGTGTACCTTTAAGCTTCTTTGTGATGACTTCTGAGGGTTCATCTAAGAATTAATACACAACAATGAGACAGGAGCACAAGAATAATGGAAATGTCTTTTGATTCAATTTGCTTTTTCTCTCATAGTGCTGGATCTTTATCTTTTCAGTGCAAGACCTTCATAAACTTCATAGCATCCTTTATCACATATTTTTATGTTATGTAAACAATATGCAACCTTTTAAGTTCTGGACTGTGAATTCAATATAGGAAAACCCAACAGTAAAAAATACCTGTAACCATCTGGAGCTGGCCAGAAAACTCCACTCTAATGTATCAAGCACAGTACTAACCATAATGATCTGGATATTAGTAATATACAAGTTGGATCACTGAAATTCTTTGTGTCTGTAATACCAACTCTAAAATGTGAAGAAATTCCTATTCAGCAACACAAATCTTGGAAAACAAATGAAAACAGGCATGCTAATCTGGTTATTACCTTTCCATTGAAGAGATAGGTCAATTCAAGGGATTTTGACTTTTGAAATCCCACAGGGAGATGTCCCTGAACATTTTCAGCTAACTCAATAATGGTCTTTTCCTGCACTGAATTTGAACAGTCCAGACACCCACAGAGTAAATTTTCTCTTCATTTTAATTAAGGAGGACAGGACTTGTCTTGCAAATGAAGCAGTCATACAGAATAAAACACCAGCCAGAAGAATCACAGATAACCTTTAGCCTGACTTATTTCAGGCAAATAAAAGTTTCACTTTTCTTGGCAGGACATTTGCCACAGCCATATTCAGATATTTAGTATCTCCAAGGTTGGTGAGTCCATGGCTTCACTGGGGAATATAAGGATGTCTTGGTCCTTTCATACCTCTTCAGTTCAAACTCAAAGCAGCTTCCTTGTTATTATTAGGGCAGGTGGAGAGAGGGCAATGAACACACTAAAACTCTGGCACTGTGGTCTCATGGTGATGGAGGACCACATAGGTATGAAAGAAGGAAATTTAATTACTTACAACAGTACAATTTTTGTACTGAATGTACTACTGAAAGAAAGCAAAGTCTAGACTGCACTAGTGGATCTGTTCTCTAGGCTACTGGCATAAGCCACCTTTAGTATGTATTTTGACAACTTTCTGCTTCACAAAATATGTCAAGTGCAAGAAAAGTAAGTGCTCCCTTTTAGATGTTACCTGTTTCCACACTACCCTCTGGTATAGAAAGGTCTTCACATTTTTCATAAAAAGTTGTGATCCTGGTACCATCAGCATGGTCTACTACTCTGTTACCACCTGGATTCTCAACAATTATCACTTCATCTTCTCGTACAGTCATAATCTGAAAGAATGAAGGTCTACTCATTTATATTGGTACTGTGATACTTGTGACAGCAACAACAACAATATAAGGGATCAGGACTGAAGCTCTAAAGAAGCTTGACGACCACATTGTCATCTACCTCAGAGACAGAGGAACCACATTTTCTTCAAAATCTAAAGCTACAGCATTTCTAACAGTGCAATAACACAACTTGTAGGATGTTCTTAAGGAATAAATCCTACAACTTATGTGATGGCAGCCCTATCTCTTGGCTTATAGACAGTGCTACAGTAACACAAAAGCAGCTAATACCGTTCCATCAGGTGGGTTTGTAGCCTGATACATTAAAAGTGGCTTCAGATCCATTCTTGTGGCACCCTCTGTGCCCACTAGGATGCCTAATGGAGTTGTTGTTATCCAGGTTCCTGCCTTAGGTTGTGTAGAACTGGCCTTTTCAAACTCCTCAGACTTTTGTGACTGTAGTGATGTCTTGTCACTGCCTTTTCCTGCAGAAACAGAAATTTCTGTATCAGACTTGATATTCTCTAAGGCGAAAGATAAAACCAGTAAACTTCAGAGTTTGTGTACATTGCTTTTGACAGAATTGCAAAATGAACTATTTAACAGGCTAGAAGAAAGTTACAACTCCTGCTACTCAAAGACATGATCCTGAACTAGCCTTATCTAATTTGCTTCCATACAGAAAAAGTAAGTAACATGCTAATGCCACCAGTTCTATGGTGCAGCAGAAGAAAAGGATGAAGATCTCGTTATGAAAGGCAATTGGAGACAACTTATTAGTAATGTTATAGAGAACTCTTGTATCCCATATTCAGGAAAAATAGACAAAGTGTATGCAAAAGACAAGAGCATAGTCCAGAGAGCAGGCTGAAAGACTTAGAGCAAATATCTAGCAATAAAGCACTCCCGAAACCAAAAAGAGATGCAACTTTTTAATAAAAATTTGTCAAGAATAAACAGAGGAGAAGAAAGGTGGGGACGGTGAAAAAGTGATCATAAATAAAGGACAAGGAATAAAGGACATACACTGGTCACAGATACTGAGAATTCATATTAGAAAACGGTTTGTCAGAGTTCTCATCTTTGCAGGTATCTAAAGGAATATCCTAAGAAAAAGGACTGGATTTGACTCAAAAAGTCTATTTTTGAGACACCTTTCTCTTTGGCAGCAATTTTTATTCACCTATTTCTAAAAAATTGTATGTTAATATGACAGGTCAGAATTATTCTGCGTACTAAGTAATACTGACAGCGATCTTGGACTACATTCGGAGGTATGAAGTAAACATTATTTGGTTCTTTCTCAGTCAAACAAAATACAGTAAGAATGGCTATATTACCACCAAGCACACGTCCATACAACCAACTGACAATGACCAAAAGTAGGTGCCTTGGAATACATGGAGTGAGAAAGAAAAATGTATCCTCTGTGAGAGAAGCATTTCTTAATACAAAGATAAAAAACTGTAAGACGAAAGTAACGATTTAACACTACTGTAGTTACAAGGATTTCTTGTAAAAGACTTCATGTTCACTCTGATACCAACGAAGTTCTTATACAACTTTTTACTTATTAGAGTCCTACCATGTTAGAAGAAAAATAAAATTGGAGTAGGAGAGAAATGATTTGCTATGAAGTTAACATAGCAGTGTGCAGCAGCTGAGTACAGATAAAATTGCATTTTCACACTGTCAGAATTTTCACACTATAGAAATATGCTCTTTATTAAGTATCATCAGCCATACTAACTTTATATCTGTCCAAAACACAGGAAATATTACCTTTCTTGGTGCTGGTCTCAGATAAACCGTCTGATTCTGTTAAGGGAATTTTCCTCCATATTTCATCTGGAATTGTAGGTGGTGGTAGTACAGGACCAGAATCAGGGCTATTACTCACTGTGCCATCAGCAAACAGAATCTACAGAAATCAAGGACATACTAGAGGTTAAAATAAATTCAAACACCACTAGAAAGTCTTAAAAGAATGTGTCACAAATGCGATAGTCACTAGAATACTGTGGGTGATGGAGAGGAAAAAAGTAAAATCTCTCAGAATTACAAGAAATAAAGAAGATGTCTTGAAGAGAATTAATAGAACAGACTATTTCAGGTGGAAGGGACCTACAATGGTCACCTGGTCCAACTGCCTGACCACTTCAGGGCTGCCCAAGTTAAAGCATCTTGTCAATGGCATTGATCAAATGTCTCTCACTGACAACCTTGGGACATCAACCACCTTTCCAGCAAGCCTGTTCCAGTGTCTGACCATTCTCCTGGTAAAGAAATGCTTCCCAATGTCCAGTCTGAACCTCCCTTGGTGCTCCTCTGAGCCATTCCCATGTGTCCTGTCAGTGGATCCCAGGGAGAAGAGATCAGCACCTCCCTCTGTCAGGGAGCTGCAGAGAGCAAGGAGGCTGACCCTCAGCACCTGTCTCTCCAAAGCAGACAAGCACAGAGCCCTCAGCCACCCCTCTCAGGATGCACCTGCCAGCCCTTCCACCAGCTCTGCTCTTCTCTGGACTCACTGCAGGACCTTCCCACCCCTCTGAAGTGGTGGTGCCCAGAGCTGCTCCCAGCACTCCGGGTGAGGCCGCACGGGCGCTGAGCACAGGGGATGATCCCCGCTCTGCCCGGCTGTGCTCTGTGTTTGGTGCCCCCAGGACGCGGTTCCTGCCCTCTGGGCTGCCCGGGCACACCCTGCTGACTCTCACTGAGCTGCTGCTGCCCCAGCACCCCCAGGGCCCTCCCTGCAGGGCACTCTCCAGACTCCTCTCCCAGTGTGTACTTGTGCCTGACACTACTCTGTCCCACATGTAGGATCCAACAGTTGGTTTTGTTAGATTTCATTCCATTTGTCACTGCCAGAAGGAGTGCTATTTGCTGTAGTTTATGGATCTAATTAATGGGGACTCTTATAATAATAAAAAGGCATTATAAAAATAAATTATAAACATAGATTATTCTTTGACTAAATGGTCATAGGTTAGTGACTTTTTTTTGGTAGCAGTGATAATGCATCTGTATTGACATATTGATCCATACTGAAATATTCCAACGTCTAGGACTGCTGTGAATTTTTTAGCCATTATGATAGTCAATAAAAAGAAGTCTTGGTTATTTATTGAATTATATCTGGTTTCTGAGATCCATTACACTCAACTTTTTACATGCATGTTCTCTGTGTGTCAGAATTACTCCAACCACCCCTAAATTAATTTATAAATACAGTACAATGTAGAAAAGAAATGGACAATATATAGAAACACCTCTTGAAATTGTCACTGTAAGGAATTAAATGTTTCTTTTTTGAATGCTTAGCATATGCAATAAATTTCTGATTACTCATAGACATTAATACAAAGAAGGATGCACTCATAATCTATTTAATTAATTTAACTTACTACTGCAAAATAATTTTAGGCACATTTTTCTATCAGGAAACAGTATGTTGTGAATATATAAACATTCAGCTATATATATAAATATATAAACAGCAGCTATTTCTGAAATGGATAAATTTCTCAGGAACCCTGGCTAAATATTTTAGCAACTAGTGTGATGGAAAAATGTAAAGAACTTACACTAGGCACTGTGATCTACTCAGACAGGAAAAAGAAATTCAGGAAATAAGGAATTATTTTGACAGATTCTGAGTCAAATTAGATGACTCCTCTTTTAATCTGTTTCCTAAATACATGTAGAGTCTTAGAGTTTAAAAACAAAGTTGCTTGTAGATTGATTATAATATTTGCAAAGATAGCCTATATCACCTAAACTGTACCAAAATTCTATACAACAAAAATAAGTGTAAACAAAGCAGGTACTTGGAAACATACAGACATTTTTCCTGAGTTCAGGTCTTTTCTGGATCCCATATGAGTGTTTAAACTGAAAAAAATATACGAATGCTTTCATATTGCCAAAAATACTCAAAGCTGAACTAATCCACACTTCAGAAGCTTAAGTCTAGGAATGTAGTTCTCTGAACCATATTCAGCTATTTCCTAATCACAAAGTTGCCTAAAACCTTCTTGTGCATGAAATTTTCATACTTAAATCTCCCTAAGTTCTGACTCTGAACAAAGCCATGAGTACTTTAGTCTTGACATGGCTGCATAATTCAGTATTACTTAACTCCATCATCTACAAACTGGACACTTCTCGATCTCTGTAGACAAAAACAAGTTTAAGGGTTATCACCTTCCATTACAATGAACTGTACTAAACTGTACTGCTTGCAATGAATTCTACCAAATATACCTGGGTAGATCCATCCATCAAGTGCTTTATGACAGTTCCTTGACTAGTGATGACTCTTGACACCTCTTGTTCTCTTTGCCTTGCTGGAGGTGAATAAAGATGAGAGTTCTTTACCTTTTGAGGATAACTCTGTCTAACCAGAATTTCCAGAGAAGGCTGCTTAGCCTGTTCACTTTTGGTGTCTTCCTGCTTTATTGCACTTTCTGTAACCTGATGTTTCTCCTCTCTACTTGGCATAACCTCTTCCTTCTCTTCTTCATCTGCTTTGGCCTTACTTTCCTCTGCCATCTTTTTCTTTGCTTCAGTGGCACTGGCTTCATCTTTCAAATCTGAAAGCAAACTTTGAAATTACTTAGTACTGCATAGCACACATTCAAACAGTGCTACACACCCAGCTTCACGGTGTCGACGGAAGATGTGCAACTCTAGGTAAGACTAACCCTCTTTGGCTGAATCTGTAATCCACAGAGTAAAAGATCGACCGTGATTTCAGAGCAAAGTTCAAAACAGTCACCTACTCAGAAACTCTGCATCCTCTTGTGAAGGTGGCTGCCTTTCCAAATGAAAACAAGGGGAATTTGAAGATGGATTTCTTATGGATGCCAAACTTTTGGAAGACTAACATCATGTGAGAGGAATTCCCTAACTGCTCATAAAGGTGAAAAAAAAAAACCCAACTGACTTTCACCAAGTTTGAATTTGTATAGAAACCCAAGTAATACATTCTGTCTGCTTGAGCAAGTAAATTCCTTAGATTAAATGATGGCAGTGTTTTGAGTATGCTAAGAGGTATAATTATGATAATTTTATTGAGAGACTCCATGTAAGTGTCTGTAATTGTTCTGTTCACCTCAACTACTCAGCATTTCAATTTATGCTTCTTGCCAAACTACCTATGTTTGAGAACACTCTGCATGTTCTTTACTTCATACCAGATTAATCAGAGCAATTTACTGGGCTGCACAGATTTGTTGTACATAGGTATTAAATGACATCTGTACATGGCTGTTTTTAGAACTAACTATATGACAATAAAATTCACATTTCTCTGCTTCAAAACCTAAGAACATGACTAAAAAACCCCCAAGATTTACTACATTTTACAACATGCAAAGATGAACCTAACACTGATTTTCAAAAACACTGCAAAAAATAGTTATTGCAGGATATTTGCCAGGCACAGAAGCTTTAAAGTATCCATATACCCTATCAGTCATCTAAAGGAAATCCAATGATAAGGGCAGAAAGGCTTATTCTGAGTGTTTTTTCTGTATGTACTGGATGGCATAAACCAAAGGACTTCCATGAAATAATTCCTGTTTAAAACTTTTAGAAAAGCAACAAAAAACCCCCAGATTGTAAAACAACCGGCAGCAGAGACTCCATCACAGCCTTGGTTAGTTTTGTTAATGATTCTTACCATTTATGAGTGCAACATTCCTACCAAATCAGTATATATTAAATCTAGTATGAAGTCCTAGCTTTCAGTTTCAAGCCCCTGAAAATTGTAATAACTTTGTATACTGTGTTTACAAGCTATCACCAATATTCTGTTTTCTTGTACTTCCAGGCTGGCACCAGTCACTCCCTTGACCTTTTCTTTGGTACTTAATGGGGTTCTCTGGTGAAATGAGCTCATTATAAGATACATCTTCTGATGCTTTTATCATTCTTGTAATTCTGCCCTGAATCTTTCAAATTATTAGCATTTTGTCTTGGGGGCTTAAGTACATATGCTTTTAAAGGAAGTGCAGACATGGTAATGTAACCATCTTCATGCTACCACTCAAGATTCCTCAATATATATGTATTTATTTATTGAATTTGCTTGTTTTTCTTTAATATTCCAAACTATGTGCATATTCAAACGGTTATCCAAGGTGACTCCCAAGGGCTTTTTAGAGTCGCTTCCTCTCAATCTTTTATGTTCAACAACTTGTGATTCTAGATTTCATATTTGTTTGAATAAAATAAGATTATTCATATTGCAAATACTATGAAATAGACATTTTGACAGACTTAGCATTCTGACATGTTAAAAACATTAGAGTTACATCTAAACCCATCAATGAAGAAATAATTTTCTTCTGTGGTCTTAGCTTCTCTGAAATTCCTTACTTTGCAGTGTCTCAGAAAACTAACCTCGAAACCTTTCACCAAGGAAAGTTAATACAAGTCCATTGGGACAGGAGACATTCAAACTTGGAAAAGCAGGAGCGTCTGACATCTCTTGTGTTTGGAGAACTGGTTCTTGCATTTCCATCTACAGAATGAAAAATTAATTAAGTTCTAGTCCATATTTTAAAATAATAATAAAAAAAAAGAGTACAATTTAATCTGTACAGATTCCATTTTAACAAATTTTTTTTTAGTGCTGTCTACCACTCATATTTAACATTTTCAGAGTTTGTGGATTCAGAAGTGGAAACATTAGTTATTTTTTTTGATTATGCTATCTTCTTTCATTCACCTTGAAGAATCATCCCTTCAAAAACCTATGTAACAATGGACTACACTATGCCAGTAGTCATAAGATGAAAAGAGTTTTGGGTTGCAGACATACGTAACAGAGAGAACTTGTCCTGGTATTATCCCATATTCTTGCTTTTTAGGAACAGAAATACAGGGGGGAAATGGCAGATATTCTGCCACCTGTTTTTCAACATAAAAGATGCTGTATATTTTACAGTTAATTTACATAATATTACTGGTAATTAAGGCTACTCTCAATACCCTAAGATTATAGTCACAGCATTATGAGGTAGAAGTCACAGAATAGGGCAGAAGTAACCCTTAGTTGTCATCCACTTCTCCCTGTCTAATGGTAAAAACAATAATCAAGTATAACTATACTGTTAGTGAAAAATTCTAATGTAACATATTCTAAAAATTTCTAGGGCTGGAGGTTTCCTAGTAAACTATTCCAGGGCTTTACCTTGCTTAGCGTTATTGACATTTTCCCAGAGGGTGACTTGAATCATTACTGCAGAAAATTAGTTTACTTCTAAATACCTCTGATGATGATACAAGCTCATGTAATAGACTATGGGGTTTTTTTTAGGTTTTTACAGAAGGCTATTCTGTCTCTCAACTCAAGATCAAAGAAACTCAAACTATTTATTTTAAATCTTTCCCACTGGTTAAGTTTTCAAGACCTGTAATCTTTCTTCATGCTTTCCTTCAAACTTTTAGTGTGGCCCATAGTTTTCTTGCAGTGCAGTATCCACCACTGGACACAATACTCCAAATGAGACTCTACCAGTATTAAAAGAAAAATAACTTCACATATTTAGCAGGCTATGCTCCTCTGTATTTACATCTCAGTGGTCTTTGCCCTTCTCACAGGAAGATGGCATTGTTGACTTATGGATAGCTTGTGATCCATGACAACTCTTAGACCTTTCTCTATGGAGCTGTCACTGACACAATTGTTATCAATTCTGTAGAACCTACCTCTTAATCTTACTGAATTGTATCCTATTTTACAGACCATGCCCATGTGAAATTGTTAAGTCCGATTTGGATTCTAATAATCCTGTTCTCCGAAATACTTGCAGACTTACACAGACACATATTGTATGCACTAATATGGATACTCTCTATCCAAAGTAATTCCAAACCAAGTAGTTAAAAGCCTTTGGTTTAGAAGTCATCCTGACAGAATTTTTAATTATAGGGCTATTTTTCTATAGGGTTTTTTTGTGCCACACAACTGCTGTATGTTATGCTGAGTGCTGTTTGGCAACTCCCTATGCCATTTTCCATGCTGAAATTAGGTAAGGAGCCCTTTTTGTGGATATGCACAGAATCTGTTTCTCAACAACAGCCACAGTGTTACTTCAACCATGAGGTACTAAAAACTACTTCAGAACAGAAATTCAGAATACACTTTCCAAATATTCATTCATGCTTTCCAAAGACCAGTACCATGATAGAAGTACTTCAGTTAAAGGCTAAAGTAATTTCCTCAAATTACTGGTCCCTGGCTTGTTACCAGCTGGAAAGGCCAATTACAGAGCAAGATACTGCAAAACTGTCTTCACTAATTTGCTGGTTGGTTAGACTTTTGAATGGGTTTTGGGAAGCCCAAAAAAATTTTACTTGGTTGTACTAAAAATTTAGCAGTTCTTGTAACTGAGATATTAATAATCATAGAATGGTTCAGGTTAGAAGGGACCTTAAAGATTGTCAAGATCCAACCCCTTTCCACGGACAGGGACAGTTTCCACTAGACCAGAGTGCTCAAAGCTCCATCCAACCTGGCCTTGAACACTTCCAAGGATGGGGCATCCACAGCTTCTCTGGGCATCTGTTCCAATGCCTCAACCACCTTCACAGTAAAGAATTTCTCCCTAATATTTAATATTAATCTTTCAGTTTAAAGCCATTTCCCCTTGTCCTGTCACTACAAGCTCTGGTAAAAACTCCCCCTCCAGCTGTCTTGTAGCCTCACTTAGGTACAGCAAGGCACGCTCTAAGGTCTTCCTGCAGTGGTCTCTTCTCCAGGCTGAACAACTCCAATGGTTTCAGTTTGTCTTTGCAGGGAAGGTGCTCCAGCCCCCTGTTCACCTGCGGTGTAACACAGCTGTAACTGTAAAGCCAAAATTGACAAAAGAATGTGGGCCAAGGCAGACTCACTGCTTTACATCACGGAATCACAAAGACTAAGTTCATTAACAGCTGCCAATATGTACATATGAGAACAACTGAAAGAGTAAAACATATCCTTAAGAGCACCACAAATTGTTAGGAATTTGTAAAGGCACAGCTCAAAGCCCTCTGAGAAGAATATATGTTCGTTTTACAGAAGTTCATGCATTTGAATTTTTGGTTTGTTTCTTTGGATTGGATATTATCTCTTCTCTCACCTTTTCTTCTTTCTGTACCAGGCTATTAGGTGATGAAGGGGCTAATTTGGCAACACCTTTGTTTCCTTTGGCAGAAGGTTTTCCTGATTTTCTTCTGTCAAACTTATCTTTTTTCCCCAGAGCTGGTGTAGCAGGAGAAACTGTTGTTGGAATTACCGTCGGAAGATGAACAGAAGGGATGTTCAGAATTCTTGCTAAGGTAAGACCTGTTTCATCATCTAAGGAAGGGAAAAGCAAGATTTTTCAATGTAATTAAGCTTCATAAATGTAGATGGCCACATTTTATTTTTTAGAAGGATTTTGTACACTGAATTTTACCTTAGAAATAATAACCTCAGTGGGGCAGATTGTTATTTCAGATAGAGGGACTATACATAGAAGAGTATTTAGAAAATCTTTCCACAGACTCTCAACTTATTAGCCTAAAAGAGATCTTGAAACTATTGCTTCCCACAAGCTGTCACCTGGTTGTTGCCTCAAAAATTAAAAAAAAATACTATTTTAGAATTCTTTTTTACTGCCAGAATACTTAGAAGTGAAGACATTCTGAATCTAGTGTCTAGTAAATGATCACTGTGTTCTGCTTTATCACGGACGGATCCAGCACAGACGGACTCTACAAATTTTGTACTACATATGTCTATTTTTCTATAATTCTTCAGAAAGACTCTAATGATCTAGACTTGATAAGACTCTTGCAATTCTTCAAGCCAAGCATTACGACAGCCTGCTAGGTATGTCAACAGGAAGTAGTTATGTTGCCTTTCAAAGCAATTTCTTGAAAATAAAAGAAATACAAATTTACATTTTCTATAGTTATTTCAACAAACTGACACTTCACTTTCATAGAAATTTCACCTATGCCTTTATTTTGGTTGCCCCCCAAAATAAGAACATGATGTCTGAGGGTAACAATGAAAAGAAGTGGATTGTCAAGACTGAGATTAAGTGCCTTTAGAAATCTTGAGAGAGATGTAAAATTCCAGATACACACATTCACATGTCGAGGACTTGGAATTGTACTCTCATGATTTTGTCAAAATATAAAGAGCAAGTGCAGAGTTTCTATAGTATCCAGAATCAAAAGCCCTGCAGGTGCTCAAGCAGTCCCACATTCATAAAGAGACAAGGAAATTATTTCTAACACAAATGTAAGGTGATTGGAAATGTACCTTTGATAATGCTGGAGAAAACAAAGAATAATTCAAAACTTGAAGAAATATTAACATTTACCCTGCCCCCCCCTGCAAAAAAAGTTGCATAAAGCTGAAAAAGAACTTGAGGCCTTTCATCACTTTAGCTTCCCTAAAAGGAAGATGAAATAGACAAAATATGAAAAACAGCAAAAAAGATGAGAATAAGAGAGTTTTCCAGAAAACTATTTCAGTACTGCACAGAAAAAGGGTAATTTGCACACAATTTAACTGATCAGTGGAGGGAAACTGCAGATTTCATGGTATACCTTTCTGCATTAGGGATGGATGGCATATGAGAATCATCTAAGAGAGTATTTCTGGTCAGAATTATTCTGAGCACTTAGGATACAAAGACCCACAGGGATTTGGCATAAGCAATGATCACAGACAGAAAAACTGCAAGCAATCAAAGAATGCCAGTCAGCAGAGCTCTAAAGCTCAACATGGCAAGGATTATTCTAATGCAGAATAGGATGATTATGGTGAATGTGAATAAGCCTAAACATCACAGCTGACATGTAGGTGTTTAATCAGACATGTCTCTCTTTTATGCCAAAATCCAAGTTTTTGCAGGCCACTATTGTAAACGCTCTTTTGACTCAAGTCTAAACAGTCAATTTTTTAGTAATTAATTTGTAAAATATATTTGAACAATTAAAACTGAGTGTAGAGTTGAATGGTTTACCACAGTCCACACAAAGATGCATTCAATTAAATGTTTTCATATTTTAAGAGCTGAAAAATGCTGGAATTATTTTCTGATCAGAGAAGGGTTTCACTTTTATCCATAAGATGGTTTCAGTGGCCTTTCAAACGTAATGGAAACAAAAAGCTCTTGGTAAAAGCAGACGCTGTTTTCACTGTGGTTTTCTGAAGCAATTGCTTCCAGTTGGTGAATGTGTTTATTGAAAGGCTGAGAGAAATCCCTCATTATGTCTGCACAACTGTAACCTAAAGTCCAGCTCCTAAAGTCAAATGAAAGTTCCATAATCGCCTATATAAGTTTACAAAAATATTATTTCTTGGAAAACCAAGAAGACTCCTCAGCAAATCACATTTTCTTTGGCTGAAATTAATTGGCTGATTTTGCTGGGCTACTTAATAACAATACTTGCATTGCTCTGTTTTTACAGTAAGCAGAAAAACTTGGAGACCTCCCTCCATTTTGAAAATTGAATCATAGAAAATTCTTGACAATGTAATCTCATTTTGAGCCTTGCTGAAAATTCTCTACCATGTAGTAACAGCTGCCGAGAAAGGCAGAATTGCATGCAACAAATTATTTGGTTAAGAAGTGTATGAAGGGGAAAAAAAAAGGAAAAAATTCCCCCTATGATTCTCAAATATCCTCTTCTATTTGCTTACTTTACCTGCTGCCTCCCCTGTAGGTCCATAATAGCTCAGAGACAGCTGGATTCCATTTTCCAAGGTGGCTGAAAAAGATCCAAACTTGCTCACAGCTTTCTTTTTATTTTCCATTTCTCCTAAAAAAAAAAAAAAAAAAAAAAGCAAAAAAGAAAAAAAAAAGAATTAATTTTAAGGACAGCAACACATATCAGAACCACCTGACCTGTAAACCAATGGCTGGTGTGAGAAGTGGAACCTCAGTGAGGATAACTAACCTAAATAGACTAAATAGAGCAGGGAAAACTAACATTCCATTCTTAGAGTGCAATATAATAGTCAGTTTTGTGCAATACACCTGTGGTTTTTTATCCAGAAATAGCATTCTAATTAGTTAGGTGTGTAAAAACAGGTTTAATAGCAACAACTAGTGTAAAGTCTTATGGAATTTAAGCACCAAAAGAACCCAGTTCTGGAGTTATGGATCCTTGTTTCTTGGCTGACAAGAATGTTAAACTGCCCATTTTTATTGCATGTGGCCTATGCACTAATAAAAATGACTGTCCCTCCACATGTTGTCACAGGGACAGGAGCTGAACTTCAATTATGCCTGAGGGTCTCTTCCCTTCCCTCAGGATATTCTATGATTCTGTGTGTACTTGGAAGAGAAAGTAAAAGAAAGGACAAAAAAGTTGAGAGAAATTAGATCCAAAGACATGTCTGGGATTTGTAAAAGTGGATCAGGAGTCAAACTCACATAGCGGGGCAGATCAAGGTGTCATGTGATGAATATGTCATGGCGAAAACCACATGAACTAGGCAAGATACACCTCCCAGACACTGGGTCCTACCTTGCCTCTACTTCAGCTGCTGCCGCCTTAAAGAAATGTTCTACCGGTAAGAGAAAAACTTGGGATTTCCCATATGGGGAACATATGGGAAATATGTTAAAATGGTGAGGAGTAGCAGAGAAGACTACAAAGGCAGCTTAAGGCAGACCAAGCTATCTCCCAAACTCAACATGGGACACATCCTGAGACCTTGTCTGCTCCTATTTCTTGTCTGTCATTGCAATGCTTATTGCTGAATACAACCTGTAGGATGATGGTTTGGAATTTTGACTGTACACATTTACCATTGTACCATCCAGCCACTGTCAAGTATCAGAGTGCATTGATTCTTGTCTTCCCTACTGCCTTTCTGTAAGGTGCTCCTGTTTACATGGGAGGAAAGCCTTGCACTTGTGTCCAGCGAATACAGCTTGATACACACTGGTGATGCCAGTACTGTCTGGCAGACCCCAGAATGATACAGGTCAGCTGTCAGAAGTGCAGACACAAAAAATCTTGTCTGTGGAAGGGATGCAAATTTTGTATTAAGACAACCTACAATTATATTGCTTGCAAGCCAAGGGGAGAAGCAAGAGCAGTTGTTTTCTAACACTGATGAAGAGGAAAAGAGCTAATATGTGTAAGTTCTCCTTTTCCAATACCCTTCAGTTTGGTGACAGGAATTCCATAATGTTTTTGGCAAACATATACACAAATTGTTACAAACTGCCTTCCTTCTTGGAAACACTCTCACCTGGGTTCAGAAAGGATTTGGATTCAATGCTTTCTGAGTATGAACAATATGTCAACCAACAGCAGAAGTTGCTGGATTGCAGAAAGATCTGTTTTCAAAGCAAAGGTCTTGAGGAGGCAATAATGCTACGGCCACCTGATTCACAAAAGGAGGTCCACAACAAAAGGTGAAATCTTCCCTTTCATTGCGGCTTTGGTCACAATGTACAGGATTGAGTTTTCATCTTCTTGCACTTTCTCAGGCCTCTTTAGGATCCGAATGAGTCCTTCACTAAAGAAGAAAACTATTTTCTTAAGGAATGCTGATTTCCTTGCTTTGGAAAAGAGACTGGTTTGCACATGTTGACCTGCACTGTGCTTCTACATCTTGCTAAGACCTCTCTATACAGTGCTTAAGTCAGACAACTGGATTTTTACTTTATTTTTTGGAACACTGACTTTTCTTATTCTCTGCCATTGGTATCAATGTATTTTCTGTTAGTTGGTAAGTTTTGTATCCAACTATTAAATACATCAAACTACTAATTCTTTATATCAGTGACATCAATCCACTTACCTGATCTAATGTGCAGTCCTTCATTAATTTCTTGCTCTTTAGGTTCTTTGAAGTTTTCCATGGGGTCAGTGATATGAATGAAGAAATTGTGCTTGTCTTTCATTACTTTCACCTTTATCAAAGTTTCTGTAAAGCAATGGAATACCATTAGTGCTTCCACCAGGCTTCAGGACCTATTTGCACCCAAATAAATGCAGCACCTGCTACTTTGAAGCACTCAAAAAAAGAAAATTGCTCATAACTGGACTGAATCATGTAGTAGAAAAACAAGGCAACAAAATTAAGGTTATCTGAGTTTAGATTAAATATTTAAAAACTTCCTGATAATTAAATCTGAGAGTCTGCAGAAGACTCTGTGGCTTAGATATATTGCAATTGACTGGAAAATAATTCAAATATTCTGCAAATATCATGCATCAGTTGCCATTGAACAAATAAATACAAACTGATTTTTCTGCATTTCTAGTTTTCTGGTACTTCATTTATCTATCAACTGTTAACACATTGCAGGTAACTGTAAAGATTAGTAGTGATAGAGCCTAATATGGAATTTTTTTAACTGGATTTTTACTGCTGAGACATAAAAAAGCATTTATGGATTAAGAAATGATTCCATCAGTTAGCAATGAGTCAAAGGAAAGCATAAAGAAAGAAAGAATCACTTTTTACAAACTGTATAGTCTCTACTTGAATCTGTCCTCCATCGGACGGGAAAAGATATTGATTGGTTCCTGATACTTGAATGATATCCTCTCCTGTATTGTAGCCATGAAACTGGAAAAAACAAGTTTTAAATTATCTGTAAATGAGAAAGGCAGTACACACAAAAGAGGTAAATGAAGGACAGACCATCAGGATCACACTGTACTGCTCAACATCTTTTGCTTAGCTATTGAAATAATATAAAAAACCCTTGAGCACATATCTAGCATGCTACAGTCATATCCAAATAATTTCCCAGTTACTAACTGATGTAACTTGCTACATGTGAAAACCATCATGGAAACGGAAGAGTAGCAAGTAGACCGCTGGGTTAACATACGGTGTGAGAGAAAGAGAAGTTCTGATCAAGTCCAAAGAGACAAAGTACAATGCCATGGGATTACATAAAGGCAAATAAAGATTCAGTTTTCTACCCTCTAGGTTTTGGAATTCAGATACTGTAAATCTAATTAGATTGCTATGCCTTCCAGAATGCCACAAGATGGCAAAAAATTATGTGACTGTATAAAGAAGTTCAGACTGAAATGCCATCTATTTCTGAGTCTGAAGTCTGTACTTAAGCAAATTTAGACCGAATTATATTGATGTGTGTTGCAGCGCGTTTTTATACTTTGTAATACTTTGTAATAGTTGGATTTTGTACCCCCTTATTCTCCCCAGATGATGTACCCCTTTTTGTACCCCCTTCCTCTACCTGTGTAACCATTCTCCTGTGTTGAGATCATCCCCCAAATCCCCGCCCTGGCTCTCTGTCAGTCACTCAGCATCCCATCCCCTCTATCTAGATCTTTCGGTCAAAGCTGTCGAGTGATTAGCCCGAAGCCAGGGGTCAGCCCTCCAAGGATGATGTTATACGCTATCCCAAATGTCCATCCCCTAAGGCTGTATCCCTGGAGGGTCTTTATTGGTCAGCAAATGTATCTCCCCTCGGTTTCCTCCCCCCCTTTAAATGTAACCTCGAGACTCCTTTGTCTTGCTCTGAGCACGGCGCCCCCTGAGGAGAGGGGCTCCCTGGGGAGCTCCGAATAAACCTTGGATTAGCCCCCTGTTCAGAGTCAGCCTTTTACCCTCCACTGATGTCTCTAGCGTCTCTTCTGCTGCAAAGGCGACTAGCCCAGCTGCCCTCAGTGCCCTCGGGGCACCAGAGAGTGTCCCCCCATTGTCGGTCACTTCGGGGCTGCCCCTCCCGCTGTTTGCCGACCCGGGGCTGGCCGGGGGTCACTGGGAGGCACCCAGAGAGACGGAGACAGATGTGTGCAAGTTTTAGATGCCAGACAGACTCTACAAATATAAGGTGGTGCAAACTGCTGAAAAACTGTTTGGACAAAACTAGGGAAGAGCTCCCTCTGTTAGTGTAACAGGCAGAAAAAGGAGAGCTGCTGTGTCCATTGAACTGTCTAGACATGAGTTCCCAGGGTTGCTAGGGACATGAAGCACAATCACAGTTTAGATTTCATGTGCCTTAATCTCCAAGAGTGAGCTGAGCTCTACATTTCCTGTTGCACACATGCCAATGGTGTTACTTTCTGAAATATGGGAAAAATACGTATTTTAGATTAGGGCACTTCAAGAACATGAATTTTGAAAGAGAAAATATAAGAAATGCTGATTTCCAGTGTGGGCAGTCAAAATTTCAACTAGGTCTAGTAGTTCCTTACTATGGAATATGGGACAACTTCTTATGTTTCCCTTTTCTATCCTCTCCCACAAAAATCATGATCAATTTACGTTTGTGTTCATGCCATATTACACTAAAAAAAAAAATTGGTGTAAAATAATCTTGAACATCAAGAACTGCTTTTAAAACTTTTAGAAAAGGATCTGCTGCTGAAACAACAGAGGTAACAAGAACCAGTTGGGCTTAATTTGCCCTGAACTCAAATTTCACAATAGATAATAGCTCTGCTGTAATCTTGACTCTGTATATAGTTAGCACTTCTCTAATGTGGTATAATAATACAACTCCTTACCTTATAAACTTTCTCAGGACATGATTCTGGAATGCTATGATCCTCCTCAAGTTCAGCGGCTTCTGCCGATTCATTTTGATGCTTCTCTTCAGAAGGTCTTCTGTTTGATTGTTTACTTCCTTTACGTTTCATATCCTGGCTTTTCCTTCCACTTTGCAAATTTTCTTCGTGTTCTTGTTCTTCCTTTTCTTTTTTTTCTTCCTCTCGTAATCGGTCCTGCTCAATCTTCCAAGCCTACATTCAACATTAGGAATTAAACAGACTGTGTTTATCTTTGTACTACAAGATATTTCATATGTGCAGGTTGAAAAGAGTAGAAGCAAACAAAACCAAAGGAATCAAAGTTCTAAGCTACGACACTTTTCCAAATGTGTCAAAAGTCTCACAATATTACGCACCAAATTTTGGATAAAATTAGTGATTCATTCAATCTACAACAGCAGCCATTGTTGACCACAGGAGATGAATTGGGTGATTATTCATATCTTACACAATCGGTCACAGGAGAATGATTTTGTTGAATACTTTTCCATAATGTTTACCACCAAACCACAATGCATCATTGGTATTGGTTTATTCCACAAATGCAACTGTGAGATTAAATGATTTTATTTTTTTTTTTTTACAGAAAGAGAAATGACATGTCCATGCCAAAATTATCAGCTTGCATCAGGAAGACATTTGAGATTTTCTGGAGTATTTAGGGTTTTGTAGCACTTCACAGTCTAAACATAAGAAAAGAGAAGCAAGAGAATACAATACCAATAAAACTAGATTTGTGCAGGTTAATGAATAATACCAATGCTAAGACCAAAACAATGGAGTGCTTAATCCCTACTTCAGCCAGAAATTTACTGTGTAAAGCTGGGCAAGTCAATTAATCTGTAGTGAATGGTCATGGATCCACCTATAAAATGGGATTCTCTGCCATAAGGGAACTCTGAGGTACCATATTGACATTCCCTAATTTCAAAGAGCTGTAGACAGTGAAAGTACAGTTGGGTACACAAGTATTTCCATGAATCTGGATCTTATCTTTTCATACCTTTAAAATCAGAAAACTTCAGTTAAGAGTAGGATATTATTCATTTCACTTCCTAGTATTGCAACTACAAATTACTTTGGAATGCCTAGTCTAACTCCAAATAGTCTTCTCTTAAGAATACAACATAACATGACTCACAATCATTAAGGAATAAATGAAAGACAATAGCATATACAAAAAATAACAAATAGAAAAACTAAGAGGACTCAGTCAAGCCTCAAGCCTACATAAAGAACAAAGGCTTACCTGTCTAACAAAGCAGTGCTATCTAGTCCATTTCAGAAACATAAATATTTTTGCCTCACCTTTAGAGAATCTTCTCTGATAATGAGACTTTCTTCATTCTTGGATTGAGACTCTGTTACATTCTCAGGTTTGGTTGTGCTTCCTTTTAAAAGTGAAAGGGAGAATAAGCAAGGTTATAAATACAGGAAAATAGAATAGTTTTTTTAAATGGGGAAAAAAAAAAAGATGTGCAAGTAAATAAAAATGTATATTTAAAAATAGGGAAAGTACAATAAAGCAAACCTTAAATATATTTAGAAATAAAACAGAAAGTCTGTTTAGGTTAGAAGAATCTAGATTCTCATAACTGGGGACCAAATTCACTAAATAATATATCAAGAGCGTGTGTAAAGACTGGCTCTCTGCTTCTTGTTATTGAAGGCTTTGTTCTGGCAGTGTTTGTTTTTAACTGAGCCAGAATAAGCTCAATACCAGAGTCATAGACATTGCAACCTTTCAGGACAAAATATCCTAAATGCTATCTGAATCTTCAAACCTTCACTAAAGAAACACCATATCCCTCAGTTACTATTACGGCTTGATAGCATCTATGACTTATGAAAAGAGTATCTTCTATAAGTGTAGTTTTATACTATGCTTAGATACTCCATATTTACCTTCTAGAAAAGGTAATTTAAACTCAATTAAATGAACACTGTCAGAAAGTTCTAGTTAAATTACTTTGTATGAGAAAGTAGAAATTGCAGTGTCAGTGAAATTGAAAACACCCAAGGACATCTGTGTGTTCCAGCTAGAGGTGATTATATCCTTTCAGCAAGTACACTATGAATCATAATTGTCATGAAGCACCACATGGGCAAGATTCATTCTAGCTCCTGTGACAGCTAGATATGTACAAATTATGATTTAGTAGTCATAACTGTACTTTTAGTTTCCAAACTATAATCAGAGGTGTTAACTGAGTTGACGAGTAATGTTTCTATTTTTGTAAATGCTAACTGCTAGTCCTGGGAGGCTTCAAAGTGCATTCTCAAGAAAGGTAAGAAAGCAAAGGATAAGCATAAACAAATAATTGTTAATACCATTTAAATATACAAGTAGACAATTCTGACAGAAGTTCTTTTTTGTCAATAGGGGTTTTCAGATTCTGCTGCCTGCTGAACAGTTATTGTGTGAACTCCTTATAATTTTCACTACCCAAAATGTTGCTTGTAATTCAAGTTTGCTCTGCACTCTTGTCAATTCAAGTTTCCCATTTTAGCTTCTAGCCTATAGCTTCTGACTTCCAGCTTTTATCCTGCCCTTTAAAAAGGAATTTTCCTGAACTGTGTTGCCAGCTTTAACTACTGCTCACCTCTTCATATGTTCAGTGATCTGAACAGATACATATTTGTATGTAATCCTTAATCTCATTAGCTAAGCACAGCTATTGAAAATGTAAATTGATACTAAAGCTGCCAGTTTTCAGAACAGAGAAAGATGCAGAATATAAAAATATATATATACATATATTTAATTAATTCCAAAACATATTTGTGCTTACATAGATGTCAAAACAGTGTCATCCTATGAAAAAACATAGGCAATTCTGCTCTGAAAAAATTGTGTCTTAGCACTTAGAGTGAAAAATTAATTTCCTAGAATACAGTAAAAAGATACCCACTTTTGGCTTTTTTAGTAAAGCCAGGTTTTTTTTACAGCATTGGCAGCGTCTTAGAGGGCCTTCTGCTGTGGCTTTTTCTAGTTTAAAAGACTATTTCCTTACCCATCTTCTCTTTTTGGTATTTAGCTTCTTCCTCTTTCACCCAGTCTTCAATTAAGTTGGCCACCAGCTCAAGATAGCTCCTGAAAAGCAGAATATCCCTCTATATAACATAATATAGTATTCATTAATATTATTTCAAGTCAAACAAGATCACTTGGCTTCTCAGTTTCTTATACAAGTATTATTCTATAATCTTTGAGACAAGACTTGTATTTGAAAGGATTTCTCTCAGTTTTTACAGAAACTAGTACTTTTGCTTGTTTGGTATTTGCTTAGTACATGTTACACTTGGGATTCTGGTTATCCTTTCTGCAAAGAAATGTAAGGAACTTGTCTGCCAAAGAACCCCTGCTAAAGAAAAATCCAGGAAATCAGAAAACTTCAAGACATTCAGTTCCAAAAGGTTCAGACTCATTGTCATCCTCACTGTTTTACCACTGAATAACTTATTTTCTTAGTTGTTTTTGATTGATGTTGATTTTTAAAATATGCTTTACTTGTTTATTCAGAAACTGAAGTACTGTTGCATATAGTGCAAGCTCTTCTTTATTGGTGTGACAAGAAAGGTGTTTGGAAATTGTCATCCAAATCAAGACGAGAGAATAGGTGTACCATAACCTGCCATGAATTAAAAATATTCACAAGTCACAATTAAGTTGAAGTGAGAACTGAAAGACAAACTGATCCAGAGTTTGCTGCTGGCATCTGCAGTTGCATTGTCTCATCTTCCAAAGGTGTCTGAAATGACTGCTAAAGTAGCTCACTGTAAACAACTGCTTTCAAGAAAGGAGGAAGCCTAGGAATCTTAAATGCAGCTGCCACCCAACCCCTCATTCAGAGTTTTATCAAAATTCTTGAAAGTAAAATTCTTCATGTGTGCAAAACTGAAAGGAGCTTTTGAAGAATGCACCAGATTCAGTTGCTGAGTATATTATAACTTCATGATATTTTGTATTTACAGCTCAAGATGATTCAATTGTATTCAAAAACTCTGTGTGAAGTAGAGGCTTTTGGTTATGAACATGCAGACAATACAATAAATTCTTGACCTCATATAAGTTTTAAAGTTCTTATTGCAGCAGTCTGTCCAAGAGAATTAATCTGTAGGTCATGTACACAGGCTGGAATACACAGTTCAGGTACACCTTCAAGATATACAAGACTCTCCCAGCTACTGCAATGGAGGTGGAGTCTGCTTTGGGAAACTTGCATGGAGAAACTGTTGATAATGTATGTACTCAGCAGGGAGAAGGTTATTCTGTTTGTACCTGAAGAAAAGTGCACAAGCTATAAAAACCTATGGTGTTGAAAACAAAAGGCAGAACTAGTCTGGAACATAAGAGTTGCCAGTACTGGCATAACTTGAAGATGAATATATGTTATAAATAAAAAAGAGACTATTCGTGTGGAAAATATTTTAGGCCAATGAAACAGTCATTCAAATTCTAAAATACACATTCTATTAATATGTATTCTGATGTCACTACTGCCAGTGTCTGACTCAGAAGCTCTTCTCAGAAAGGATTATTCTTTTCCAGTAACTTGTGTAATGTGTTTACTATGAAACTATAAACAAATGTCATTAAGATTAACTTTGAGAAAAATAATCGTTTTGATAATGCCTGAATTAATTTGGCTTCCTGATAGAGTGGCCACTTATTCTAACCAGAATTAAAATGTTTTATATACACACTTATCATTGGAGGTACACGTGTCCATGCCTTTGGATTCCCTTATTCAGTGACATCCATTAGATTTCACATGCAGACTCCTGCTGCCTACCCTTTAAACAGTATAATTTCTGCATTTTTGGATGTTCTACGTGAACTACAGGACCTGATATCCATAAAAAAGAAGGAAGCTAACTGGGTTTTCCAGGATGCAACATCAGAAATTTAATTTCCTCTTTGCATGAGAATTTGCTGTAACAGGACTCGCTGTAATCAAAATGAAATTATTCTGTGATTCTGTAACCAACTGATTAGCAGATAACAGATTTATATTCCAGACAGCAACTATGAGCTGTCACTCTACAAAGATGGTCTGCAGTCTGTAAGCTGTCACAATAAAGAAGTAACAAATGAACACACATAGAGAACTCTTATCAAAGAAGTTGTCAAGCGCTGCATCTATTGTGCATTTGTAACTCTTCTGTGATGAAAGTGTGATTCTTCAAGCTATACTGAAAATTAGAATGATAGCAATTTTAATAAAATCAAAATCAATAAATTGTTACTAAACTCATCAGGAGTCACTTATTTCATACAAAGATAAAAATAAGCAATACTACTCTTAATTAATAAGAAGAGTTTGTGCCTATTTCTGGCAACTCAGCAGGATCTGGAAGCTAACTGCAGGCAATAGCTTGAAGCACTCCAGGTATTTAATGAGTGTCTTCCACAGAAGTGTTATGTTGCTTGGAAACATACACTAGCAAATATTTATGATACTTTGTCTGGAAATCTGAAATGATCTTTAGAAGTAAGGCTGAATAAAGTCTGAAAATGTGCTGATTATTTTGCATAGTATAGGCAGGTATCAATGACACAGAACCAAAAGAGGAGTTACAGCTCTTCAAAAAATTCTAAGTAGCATCTATAGCAGTGATGTTGAATATGTCTAGGAAACAAGAGCAAAGCCAAACCATCTTGTCAGCGTTCATGCCATTTTCTTTAGGAACTCCTTGCTGCTTTGAAACAGAACCTGGTGAAATGTCATTGAACAAAGCAGGCATGCCCTAAGCAGAAGTTGTCTTTAATGTCCAAGCCTTGTTTCCAGGGGATGTGAAAGAGTAAGAGATAGAAAGCACACCGTTATTTCATCCTCAACAAATTACAGTACAGATAAAATATATAATTTCTCCTTTTGATGCAAAATTAGCAGCTTTTCTTTCGCAGGTATTTAGAGCCTTTCCTGTCTCCCATTTGGTTTTGATCTATTTAAATGAATGTCCTTTCAAGGTGACCAGCCAATCTGAGGTATTACAATCCCAGAGATGAACAGTGGCTGTTTCAGGGACAAATGCTTCCTGAGGAAGTCTGGTACCTCCCCCTTGCTTCTACAGCACCCATATACTGTTGGGATGAGGCGTTACTCAGTGTATGCAAACACCTGGTGACACATTAGATGTTCTGGGGTGTGTGACCTGCTCTCTGGAGTTTGTCCCAAAAGTGTACGGGTCTCCAATGGGTCTCATGTCATATGTGTCAACTCTGCCCAGAAAACCCAAATACACTAGGCAGCTGAAGTGGCACCAACTGTTTACGTTTAGGAAACTTGAATTAGGCAGCTAAAGCCCAGTGTCACAAAGAAGTGTAAGAACTGCTGGCAGAGTAAAGAGCTCTGGGTGCCAACAGACTGCTGTGTAACAGCCCTTGAGACCACTGACCCTATGCTTGGGTCTGTCTGAATGCAAGACCCAGCTTTACTTGAACATACCCTCTTTCATTTTCTTTTGGGTAAGATTTTAGCTGACCAGACATTTAGTGGATCTGCCCAAAAAAACAGCCATAATTTTCTCCAAGAAACTTTGAATTTCTGCTGGTAAATATCTTCTGGCTCTGGTCCTATTCACTGCTAATCACAATAGCCTGTTTTCATGGCAAATAATTTTAAGTCCAAATGCCAGAAAAGCTGAGATGGACCTACACAGGTCCTTGATTGAGAGCAAAGATACAAAATACAATACAAAACACAGCTTCAGGAAGGCACATTTTCCCTATTTAGTATTTAAATCTGTTCAAATATATACAGGTGTCAACAAAAGTTTATTATAAAAATTTCCATAATATGATAAATGAGGCACTACACTCAGAAAAGGATACCCACAGACAAAGGGGGAGGAGGTATTTTTATACTGGATAATTTGTTTGAAATTTTATTTGATAAATCTAATTAATCTATAGAGCACCAGAATGACATTGTTAAAGATACCTCAGCTGTCTCTTCATGGCATTTTAACATTTTTACATATCAGTACATGGACAGTTATTCTATTTTCAGTCAATTATTTGGAATAGTAGTTGCATCTACATCATCATTTATATCACTGCTTCAGTGCAAAAATGTGTTCCAAAATAAATAGGTCCACTAACAAAAGAGCTAATAGTGGACATACCAAGCACTTGCATACCTCCAACAGGTGAGCAGGTATTGATAAGGAATTAAGAAGAATGTGTTACTCTATGGAAAAAAAAATCTAATCTTAACAAAGGGATCTGAACTTTTCTCAAAAAACCATTCCCACTAAATCACTCAATTTATGTATATACAGTAGAAAAACCTGGTAAGTATCTAAGAATTTTTTTAAAAAAATTCTTCACCTGAAATGTCCCACAAGTTTCTTGATGTGGCATTTCTAATATGATTTTGTATGTATGTGTACATTATTTACATTTTTATACTTGATGATAAGGAGCTACACTCTGTATTGTTCTCACTCAGAAGAGTTCAACAGAATTCTTTTGATACAGCACTGTTTTTGACCTGCATGACTTTCTTCATCATAAATGTGTCACATAGCCATATCTTAATTTCAAAGCTTTGCTCTAAGCACACCCATGGAGGCTTTAATTAAAAATGACTGTGAATGGAACAGGGAAGACAAAATCCATTACCTGAATCGCACATTAGAGTGCAGAGCAATATCCCAAGTCTCTTGGCTCTGACGCTGTTGATTCATGGGATTGTGAAAAACCATTAGTAAAGTGTTATCTTGGGTATGATAAAAGGAATCAATACATCTATATTCTTGGGATGCTGAGTGAAGAACCTGAAAAGGAAAGAAATAAAGGTACATCCTTCCTGCAGATGGTAGCATATGTGCAGAGGCTACATAGCACAGCTTTGAGCAACAGGTGCTCCAGAACACTCTCCTACAAGATGCACCCAAAGCATTTGGATTCCAGCAACCTGAATTGCTCAGGTAGGTGGAAACTGAAACTGCATTGCTATTCATGTTGAGAAGAGACACCAACTATGCTCCACCTTCTGACTGACCGTGAATGAAAAAGTTCAAATAAATTAAAATATTAAACAAATACTTAAGTTCAAATAATAAAATAAATAAATAGTAAATAAAACCAGAATTATCATATACCAGATTAAAAAAAACCACCCTAATTTACTTTTTTTAATCTCAGTTGAGTTTCCTTGGTATTCAATTTGCTTTACCATGACTTGCACATCTCTGAGATTTGCTGTGATCTACATTATTCCACCCTGCCCTGTACTTCTCCATAATTTTCAATATTTATATTGCCTGCAGGTTGAAACTTATTTTGTAGTCAAAGGTAGAATAAAGCCTTCTTTTAAATTATTATTTTTCAGAACTATTCTTCTGGAGGTTCTAGAAGGATCTGTTCTATGATCTTCCCTGGAACAGAGGTGAGGCTGGTTAAGTTGGTAGATCCCAGGGTCCTCCTTCCTACCCTTTTTAAAGATGTGCAAGATGTTTCTCTTTATCCAGTCATCTGGGACTTCACCTGACTGCCATGACTTTTCTTGCAGCTGCAATAAAATGCTATCTTTAATTTTCCATCAGTATCTTTTTAGTAGACTCACTAATTATTGGTAGTTGAAGTAGTATTAACTATTTATGTTGCACATTAAGGGATTCCCCATGCATTGAAATACATGACCAGATTTTAAAATCCACCACTCACACCAGAGTGGTGCTGCAAAAGTCCAGGCAGCACTTCTTTCACCCATGTATAGCATGTATCAGGATCAAATAAGAATTACAACCTCTCAAGCTCAAGGCAGCATAGGAACTAAAAATCCACTCCTCCCAAGAGGATGCCTCCCAATTCAAGCCAACTACCCTTAAACATATCTTTCAGATTTGTCATTTTGTCTTTCTGCAAGAAAAGTTTTTAGTGTTTAGCTTGCAAGATTTCTATAAATGATGTTTTTAGCTCTTAAAGGGTGAAGTACTGTAACACCCAAATTTTCTATTTGCCCATAAAACATACACTGCATAGGCATTTGCAAAGTATGTTTTCACATCCACTGCACTGAGTCCCAAAACTGCTACAGAGGATCACCCTTAAGGGCAAGGTGGCTTCTCTCCACCACACTTTCAGCTAAGAGACTTGCTGCCAAATAGGACAGCTCCAGTTTGGCCAAACCAGGAAATAAAAACCTGTTACAAACTAAATTTGTAACATGAAGAACTGAAAAGTAGCTAAAGCACAATGATTTTTAGTAAAAATGAAAGATAAAACTGAATCAATTATTGAGCAGAAAAATGCCCTGAACTCCACTACTACTACTTTATACAGTGTCCTGAGGGAGAACTGTATAGATGAAATTGTCAGTTCAAAGATACCTGACAAAGAACATGCGGTTCAAAATGCTCTTCCAAACTCCAGTCTGTCAAGCAACGCCTCTGTGTCTTTTTTATTTCTTCTAAACTTGGTCCTAGGCCATAATTTTCCAGACTCACCTTAAAATACAACAAACCAAAATAATGAATATCAACATTTCAGTGTCAGTATTAAATTGACTGTAATCTGGTTGGATTAATACACAGCACCCCCTGTTGCATCACAGTTAACTGCATAATGATGCATATGTGCAGACCCATATGGCACTGTTTAATAAAAAATACAATTACTCCCAAGCAGGTCTGGTTTTGGACTTTTTATGACAAAATAATCTAAATACTTTTATTATTAGCTTATATGTTTTTGAGTTCTGTAAGCAATCATGAGTATTCAAACATGTCCTATGATGTAATTTTAAAATTGCTATGTTTATTATGGGATGTATGGCAGACAGGTGATTCTGAAGATACCAAACTACACAGTCTTCTAGTGTGACAGTTTGACAATTTCTTTTAAACTTTCACGTTTGTATTTGACCCCTGGTATTTAGCAAAACCAGCACAAAATTATCATGAACAGCTTCACCAAAACCTGTCACCTTGGAATGCAAAGAAAGTGATTTCACAGTTCCTAAAAGTTATGTCAGCATTTTCCAAACTACAGAATTAACATTTGCATGCAGCATTGCAAAGGAATCCCCAGTAACATGGCTGGCATTGGGCAGTATCCTCTGTTGCCTCACTCCATTTCTCACACTTGCCATATCAGAATAAAGATGATCCAAGTCTACGTTTAAAAGTGGATAAACCAGATTGTCTTCTTCATCTTCGTCACTTGTTTCTGTCCCTGCAAATTGAAAGCAGAACTTAAAGAATTGTTCCAGAAATTTCAGCCCTACTACGGTTGGAACTGTGCAATTTCCTTAGTCTCCCCGATGAGACTGACATCAAGTTGAAGGTTGTCCTATAATTACATGAACATCTCTGCTGTGCTTCTTTATGAAGAGAGCATTTTAAAATCCTCTGACAATAGGTGCCAGATGATTAAATAAAATTTTAAAAAAAAAGACTTCATAAAACCCACTCAAATCATCCTTTCCATCTGACCCATGCTGGCCCACTAAAAATACTCTCAGAAGTAGCCTCCAGATTCATAAACAAAGAACCATTTTTCTTCATACTTTAAAAAGCATTCCTTTGCACAGACAGCATTAAAATAAAAGGCAAGACCAATTGTTCTGGTATTTTCACACATTTATGCCAAATGCAAATGTTAAAGTTTAAATTAATGTAGTTTACAGATCCATAAGCTACTGACAGAATATTAGCTCTTCTGAGGATCTGACTGGTCATTCCATTGTTGCAATGAGCATCTGATATGAACAGCATCAAATGAGGACTTTAACTTCTATATTCTCTTAATTAAAAAAAAAAAATTCCTTTCAATAGAATTCTTTATTCCCGAAGTTAGGGCAGAGGTTACTAATACTTGATCAAAATTCACATGTAAAGGAAAATCACTATTTCTGGTGGAAAACACGCCACAAAGTATTTGTTTGTAAGTGTCTTATAACCAGCTCAGCTTCCAGACATACAAGTTTAGGCTCTGCTTCTCTTGGATATTACGCCTGTTTACTGACTGCCTTTAGAAGATTGAAGAAAGCTGAAAGCAAATGTTTTATTCCTGGTATTTGCTTTTGAGCTGCAGAAGTGCTGAAATGTTGTTATGCTTGTAACTGCAAAATTTAATATCATGACCAGTACAAAAGCAAAATAAAGCAACACCCAAAAATGTTCCCTAGATGCAGAAGACAAGCAGATAAGCTGGAGTCATTTTTGTTTGCTTCAGCCTTCTAAGGAAAGGATCCCATCTAAACTGCTTGCTTAGACATTTCTATTAGGAAAGTATGGACAAGATCACAAAGTACTGCATCCAGTTCTGGGATCCTCAGTACAGGGAACACATGGACCTGTTGAAGTTGGTCCAGAGTAGACCCAAAAAAGGTGACTGCAAAGATGGAGAACCTTTCCTGTGAAGATAGGCTCAGAGAGTTCAGCCTGGAGAAGAGAAGGCTCTGGGGAGCTCTTAGTATTGTGGCCTTCGAAGAGACTTTCTAGTAGGACCTGTAGTCATAGAATAAGGAGTAAATGTTTTAAAGGAAAGGAAGACAGACTCAGACTAGGTATAAGGAAGAAGTTTTCATCATAAGGGTGGTGAAACACTGGAACAGGTATCCCAGAAAGGTGGTGGATGCTCCATCCCTGGAAGCACTGGAGGTCAGATCAGAGAAACCTGATCTAGTTGAAAATGTCTCTGCTTATTGCAGGGATGTCAGAACAGACGACCTTAAGAGGTCCCTCCCAACCTAAACAATGATTCTATGATTCTGTGATTCTGTGATCATAAAGGTGAACCTAAAGGTATAATTGCTTAAAATGACCTAAATTCTACTTTTCTTGTGTCCTGAAAAAATAATCACTTGATTTTAATGCTGCTTTTTGGCCAACACATCTCCTTTAACCAGGCCAACCACTTTTCATTATGCTAGAATCTGCAGGAGAAAATGCAGAACTGGAGAAAATTCATTCTGCATCATCTACAATTGTTAATGCTGTAGTACAAAATAACTCTTGTCTTTATCCTAGTATTCCCACAGAGTTACTCAATGTGCAGGATACACAATATTTGAAAATTTGGTGACTGGTGCAAGGAAGAAAAATCACATCCCTGCAATAGAAAATTATATGGTAAGACAAATAGTGGATTCAAATTCTTCAGGAGTAACATAAACAGAAAGCTTTTTACCAGAGCTTCTTGGAGATTTCTCATTAAATTTCTTTTCCATAAGGAAGAGTTGTCTCAGCTGTCTTGCAAACATGGCTGGATTATCCCAAGGGATATAAGACTCTTCAGAATCACCTTCAACCCTAGATCCAGAGCTCTCCAGGAAACCAGAGTCACTTAGCCCAGTCAGCTTCAGGCTTTCAAAAGTAAACACTCTGAAGGCTCTTTCTACTTCAGCCCAAGTCAGAAGTTCTAAAAAAGAATTACAATCATTAACTGAAAACGTCCTTACAGCTCAGCAGAAAATAAATACAAGACTATTTAAGTGTATTGTTCTTGGCAACTCCGCAAAAGCCAACAGCAATTTCCTTAATGGTATTGGATCAACTTATGTGGGCTACATTTTACACTGCATTCAAAGTTGAATGCTTCCAAATTGCAAAATGATACGCCTACCTATTAATCCATCTTAAATGAAGTGGTTCCTACATCTGAATACCTTCTGGCTCATTAACTTTATATAAATGATGTTGATTTTAAAATATGAAGTAGACTTTATCAGGCCAGTTAGCAACTAGTTATTTTCAGTTCATGAAATGTTTCCATTATCTGTAACTTCTCAAAAAAGTATCAATTTTTTTTCCTCTTCAGAAAGAATTTTACACATAATTTAAACAGAAGTATGCAAGGTGCAAAGGCAATAATAAATCCTGTTTATGCTTGTATGCATCTGTGTCCATATAACAATGATAACCATGCAAAGGACTGAAGTTTAAGACAGGTAGTACAATGCCCAAATCACACAAAGAATATCTCCAGTTTGAAATGTTTTCTCTTTAGGGTGGTTAAGCACCTAAGCACATCATGTATCTTGAGAATGTTGGATCTCTCATCTTCTACTCCAATTAATCATCTCCTTTGATAAAAGCAAAGGCTTTGCTAGCTAGGTTACCAGTTAGGAGAGTCTGGCAGTATCGTATGGCCCAGTGAGGATCATCAAATTCAATACCCATCAGCTGGAAGACTGTAGCAATAGGGAATACTTTAATACCTTGCTGTCCAAAATGTACATACCAACAACTAGAAACAACACAGCGAAGTGTAAATTAATCCAACACAGGGAATTCAGGATGAAAGAGCTGCAGAAAGTACCCTTAAATCCTGTGCCTTATATGATGACATGAATGCAACCAAAGGGATTTGGATGTTTATATTTCTTAATAACCAAGAGCAGATTTTTGATACTACCTAAGGGTATTTATGTAGTCTTTGGGATTGTTTCCCAGCGTATGTCATGGCAGCAAGCACACTCCAAGAAAAGGTAACTGCAGAAGTGATTATGGTTGGAGAAGCGAATGTGTTTTTGGTTTGATAAAGGGACTGTTATAAAGTAGCTTCATTACTAACACCAACAGCTTAGACATGAATAACACAATACACAATGTATTCCAGAATACATTCTGAAAGCAGTGTATTGTTCCATAAAAATTGTCTACCTAAGATACATTGCTTTACCTCCAAAAGTGAGTTGATAAATCAACACAGTTTACATCAGTCCCTCTCAAAATGTATTCTACATTCTAGGACCAAAATTGCAATTTTTACCACTGTGTTTTTTCCACTCAGAATTAGTAAGTGTTTGTATGTTTGCAAATATAAATAAAAAAAGTAGTTCCAAGGTAAGTTCCAGCTCTTAGTTATGCAATACTTGACACTCATACAGTCGTTCCCATTAACCATGAAACTGAGGTCTGAAGTTAGGGTTAACTTGTATAGTAGGCTATAATTATATATAAGCAAGAATGTGAAAATGGGAAATTCAGCAAAGGTTTATTTGGCAGCTTAAAAATCTTGCCCCAAAATTTCTGCTATTTGAGAGGATCATCAACCAGAAATAAAAAGAATGCAAATTATATCAATGAAAATAATTTTACCAGTAGTAAAATAATGCATGAGCTCATGAACTCTGGCCAAGCGTTTAGTGTTGTCTTCAGCTGAAGGAGGGGTGAAATGGATAAGTTCTGTAAGAGGCAGTTTATCCATCATTTCATGCTCAATCTTTTCTGGATTGAAGTTCTCCTGGACCTGGAACAAAAATCAAAGTACCAGAGTTAAAGTAAACTTTCACACTATTGACTTTCCAAAAATTATGTTTGAATAAAGAAGTCTTTCTACAGCAGAAGACATTAGCATGTGCTTAAGCCAGTTGGACATAAACTTATATCTGAACATGTGCCCACAGTGTGGTTTTGAATCATGGTGTCAGATACTGTAGGCAGGAAAATATTAGACACATAAGAGAATGACTGACAGCATAATAACAGACATTTGTTAGAAGTCATTTGCCTGTGCTAGCTAGACTTAAAAATACAGAAATATGTACTGATCTGTTCAGACTGACAGCAGGCACCTTTCATGTATCTTTCAGCTGTCTGTGCTACTTTTTATAGTAGTGAAATCAACTTATTGATCAGTCTGTGAAGAAAGGCACCCCTCTATATCCAAGGATTTATTTTTTCAGATGTAGTGGTATCTTTCAATTTCACTCTTTTTAGCATTACACACTTACAGTACCTTTTTCTTCAACTGCATATTCCAAATGTTCGTCCTCTACTCTTTCCTCAAACATTGTGCTACATCCTGAATTTCCTCTTCAGCAAATATATAAAATACATCAAGAATATGTCTGCTAAGAGCATCTCTTACATTGATTACTCAGTCCTTCCTTCTGCTTGAATATATCCAATGCATCAAACTTGAATTGTTTCTGAATAGTTTTAATCAATGGTTGTCAAAGTACTCCCCAGATAATTTGTAATCCATGAAGCCAGGCAAACACACCTTAGCTGTGAAATCTAGAACTATATTATCACTTTTATAATCCTCAGTGAATTTTTGAAATTTAATGGTAAAACTACACCTTGCCTTTGGAAAAATTCAAGACATTCACAGTGGTTTTTTGATTCAGAAAGTCTGGGAATTGTTACTTTGCAATAATCCCAAACTATGCAGTCTCTGAACCTTTCTGCCTTTGTTAGAATTTGGCAGTATCTTGGTTACATACTATTCTGCAACTACGTAGCCAATCTGAATACATTCATTGTGTTCATTAATAACTGCTATGTATTTTCTTCTACTTCTCAACATTTTAGTATTCAGCCTAAACTCCATGCTAAATCACCATTAACAAGTTAGCAACTCATTTTTCATTGTATCATCAGTGTTTAACAGCAAATCAACAGTTCTGTAATATCTCTCATCTATGCCAAAGGCTAAACATTCTCATTAATAATGCAAATAGATCACTGAAATCAGTACGCTTGTGCTCCATATTTGTGAGGTGCCCTCCATCACTAACTCATTGCTTCTTAAGTAAACTAAACGTGTGTTGGTGTGTCTACCTCAGTTGAAAAAAGATCCAGGATATGTTGTCCTGTTGTGTAAAAACACCACTTCTTCCCTTCTAGTGCATGAAGCATTCATTGCCTGTGAACATTGGAAATATTTATATATAAATAAGTTGCATTATACCTTCAACAGGTGCAACCGGTGAGCCAGGGCATCGTGGTAATTAAATAGGAGAGGGTACTGGGGGGTGACAGTCTCTGTCTGTGGTTCACCATATTTAGAAGAAAAGTAGTCATACAGATTCTGTTTAAAAAGAAAAGGAAGAGCTATTAAACCCCAATAATGAGATTTGTCATTTTAGGAAATGAACAAAAGACAACACAAACCTTTTTTTCACTTATAGGAAGTGAAAGAGAAGGAAGGACAGAGATTATATGATCTGCAATGGCACGATGCAGCTCATCTGCCTGAGGCTGTGGTGACACCAGACTCGGTGGTGGAAGATCTTCTTCACTTGCAATTACCTGGCAAATACAATATATGTTAGCTTCCCTCACATTATGACTGCTGCTTAACTTTACCAGAAATACCAGGCAAATCCTGTTATAAGCTAAGCACACATCCAATAAGTTCTGTGAGGGAAGAAAAAACTAATTTTTTTTCTGCAAGTAGCAAAAATACAATTTTCCAAGTTAGTTGCTGCACAAAGCAAGGACTGCAGAAAACAGAATTAAATGTTTTCTCTATTAGTTGCTTTTGAAAGGATAAGAAGAAAAATATTTCCAACTTGAAATGTTAAGGATTGCTAAGGAACACAGGTAATTAAAAACTGATTGTCTATTAGGTGTTGGACTTTGAGTATTCTTAGTTTATTTTCAGGCTAAGTTACAAAAAGAAAAAACCCCAAAATTATGCTGAAATGTTACTCCTAAAAGAAAGATTTCCAAATCATATTATGTGTCTCTTCTAAATCATAGATTGTGTCTGAACTCAACAGAAGTCAGATTTGTCTAGCACTAGCATTGAGGCTCTTATGTCAGGCTTAACCTAAGACCTTTGAACTGAGTATACCAACAAAAGTTCACTATCAATAACACTGCTGAAGGACAGGAAAACTTGTTATTGACTTGGATAAGAAATTTCACCTTTCTCATTTGATTATATTTGTAGTCTTCAAAAATTAATTATGGAGTAACACTATATACATGTGTGTGTGTATATATATATGTACACAAGGTAAGTGAACAATATGAAAGAAAATCGAAGAATCGAAGTTTGGAGTTTTGATTCCTTTGTATTGAACATCCTTGCTCAGCGCCTCAATGCACATATTTTTGGTTTAAACAGATGGATTTATTGATCTTTGACAATTCATTATATTAGGTCTAGGCCAAAATAGCCACAAAAATTAAAAAGAGAATATTCCCACCTGTTCCAACATGCAGCTCAGCATTAATGGTATAGAAAAGTACTCCTCAGGAATTTGACTCAGCAAGTCATTGTAATACCTCATGTCCACAGAAGGGAACAGAATAGAAGTTTCTTCTGCTATATTAAGAGATAAAACATTAAGATATGTTTGTTTAGAAATGCCAATTTATAGTCCAAGTTAGTTCTGCAAGTTTGCAGATAATGCAAAACTGGGAGGAGTTGTTGACTCTCTCAGGGGCAGGGAGGCCTTGAAGAGAGACCCTGACAAACTAGAGGGCTGGGCAATTATCAACCTTATGAAGCTTAAAAAGCAGAAGTGTTGGATTCCGCCTGGGATGAGGCAACCCTGGATGTACAGACAGACTGGGGAATAAGATGCTGCAGAGCAGCACCACAGAAATCAACCCAGGGGTCCTGTTTGAAGGAAAATTGAATATGAGCCAGCCATGCCCTGGCAGCCAGGAGGGCCAACTGTGTCCTGGGGTGCATCAGGCACAGCATTGCCAGCTGGACAAGGGAGGGGATTGTCCTGCTCTGCTCTGCACTGGGGCGGCCTCTCCTGGACTCAGGGGAGTTTTAGGTTGGATATTAGAGAAATTTTCACCCAGAGAGTGGTTGGGCACTGGAACAGGCTCCACAGGAAAGTGGTGAAAGCACCAAGCCTGACAGTTCAATAAGCATTTGGAAAATGGTTTCAGGCACAGGCTGTGATGTCCTATGCAGGGCTAAGTTGGACTCAGTGATCCTTGTGTGTCCCTTCCAATTCAGAATATTCTGTGAGTCTGTGAACCTTCAGACAATATTTATTAAAAAGAGTCTAACAAAGCTAGAGATTGGAAAAAAAAAATTACTGAGTTTTTAAAATCTGAATTTGACTAGGAACAGATAGAAAATATGATTTTCTAAAGAACTTTGTTATCACCACTCAGACACTTCCACAATGCGTTCACCAGGATACACAACACCTTCAGCTAACTGCACAAATAATTTTGAGGATTTGTGCTGTCCGATGAATGAGGGATCAACTACAGATGGGTGCTTCAACCCTTTAAACATACTCTCTGACAAAACTACTGTTGACAGAATTTCTTCTGGTTTCCCTTTTTTCTTTGTAGGTGACATCCGTGGTGCTGGCTGTTCCTAAGTGAACGAAAGTTAACATAAAAAAATCAGAAACCATAAAACAAATGGGTATTGCACAAACAGGTGGGAGAACTTAATTTCATTTCGCTTTGGTTATTCACTCTAGACTACATGCTAAACTTTTAATTGGAACAAGATAGTAAGAATGTAGCGTATGTTCTAACAAGATACTTTCTTCTGCCTACTTAACCTTTGCCTACTATAAATAAAATAAGGAAATAGATCTTGCATAGAACTAATAATCTCTTTTTTTGACAGTTCACAGATCTGCAACATTGCATAGTAGCTCTGTGCAGGCATATTGATTTTTCAGACTCAAGAATGTCTCATCAGACACTATTTAAGAAATTTCTACATCTATGATACATTATGTCTATAGGATTCTTCTAATTTCCTTCTTCTGTTACCCCAATGCTCAGCTATTTTTTTTTCCATTTTTTGGGTTTTAAATGCTGAGTACAAAAATACAACTTTCATTCACTGAAAATTAAAGACAGGCAGTTCTACCCTATAATTAGTTATTCTCAACAAGAAGAGAAGGGTCCTTGCCTCAAATGAAGATGGTTGTGTGGATTTGCTCTCTGGAAACACAGGCACATTAATAAACTTGGTGTTTTCCAAGTAGTTGCAATGCTGTCTTCTCCAGTCCAGGCAGTCATACATCAAACAAGCAATGTGTTCAAACAGCACAGTACCAAATGCAAGCTATGAGAGAAAATCAGAGACAAAGGATGAAGTGTGTATAAAATGTCATGTAACTTAGTGACAGCAGTCCTTAGCTCTTTAACCAGCAGAACTACATCTGTTTATAAATTTTCCAAAAGACTTTTTCCTCCACCAGTTCAATATGTTTTACAGAGTTATTCTAAAACCTCCTTCATTTTATTTGCCTTAACACTGCCACAGCAGAGCATGCACTGCCTAAGTTGCTTTAGTTGTTCTAAAGTCTTTCTTGTCTTAACAGTAACTGTTCAAGGTCTGCTATCTTGCAGATGGAACTTAAAGGGTTTCTTTGGATGGGAAGGAATGGACGAGGAAAATTAAAGTATTTTGTAATGTATGTACATTTTTACTAGTGACCAACCTGCAGCATATTTGCAAGGTCAATCATTTCCCTGCTCTAGAAGGTTAAAAAACCCCAAACTCTAACTAGGTAATTAATATAATCTCATATTATTTTATTTCTTTCTGTTGCCCTTCGAAAACAAAGAAAGCCTCAAGAATGGCATTCTGAAATCCACAGTTGTGAGTGAAGGAATGTCAGCATAGTGCCCAAATGTCCAAAAGGAGAGCACTGTATCTGCAAAAATCTGACAAGGTAAGAGTCATGGTTCTTGAGGTCATGTACTGTGGTTTTCACCAAAGCTTGGGAGGAATAAAAAGAATAATAGCAACTGCTATTTTAAATATTAAAGGTTCTTGTACAAATACCAATACCCTGCAGGAGACCACATGAAACAGTCAAGTTTCAGCAGCTTTAATGGATGTATTCTTCCCCTGTACATCCTGAACTTTGTGGAAAGGATGGAATTATTATAACTTTTAGAAGATTTCTGTGAAAAGCCCTTTTCTGAGTAATTCTTACACTTTTGTGAATTTAGTGCAAGTCTCTTGTACTGAGAAGTTTGCCTCTAAGATGTGACTAACAACATTGAATGTCTCAATTTTAAATTTCCTAAAATAGAACACAGTGAAGAAGCACAACTGACATTAGGCACTAAGAAAAATAACAAACCCTTAAGAATTATTAAATATCTGCTTTCCTCAACTCAGTGCTTCTTTATGACACTGGGGAATAGGCAATCCCAAATCACTGATAAATTATGGAATATTTTATTCCATTTTCATAACATTTAAAGACTAGAAGAGACACTTGGGAAAGAAATTCTATTTGTGAAAACAGAATGTTCATTAATATTCTTGCACCTTTGTTTTCCCAGATCAATATTCTTCTGAAGAATGGGTTAGTATAACACCTTTTCATCCTCATATTTGTATATGTAAGGTATCACTACAGCCCATAAAAGTTTTACATAAAATATTGGAGTGTTTTAAATGCAGTCTTTTAAACAAAACAATATTTTTTACAAAGTCATAAGTAAGAAAACCCTGTTACTCAATGGGATCCAAGCAAAGTTTAGCATAATTGTAACTTTGTAATTCAATTGGCCTGATGTCTCCTCAGGACATAGATTTTTTTCAAAAGTTTTTCAAGTCCAACCGTTAGTGACTCTTCAACAAAGTAAATATTTTTGAAAGTATTTTCCATTCGAAAGATCTCAGGTCTGAGAGCAGAGACTACTTGCAGTATGCAATACTCTGTCATTTTTATATTAATGTCTAAGAATGTCTTACCCCAAGAATTTTCCTCCTGTGTGTCTTGCACTTCAGAGATGCAGCAAGCTTGGACTCAGAGATTCTCCAGAAAGTCCACAAGAACAAACTTACTTTATCAACCTGTGATTTCAAAATTTATATGCTCCCCACCTGTTTCTTAAAAAACTTACAAACTTTCTTATTTCTGTAGGGCTCATGAAATTGTAACTCTAATCTGTTGAGATCTGTTTCAGTGACAGATCGTTTTTCTTTTATTTCAACTATAATATAGGCTCTTGCAAGATATTTAAAAGTAGAAACCCTGTAAGATGTGATTACAGGGAAGATAAAAACTGTTTTCCCAAAAGAGGCTTGGCACTGTAAGATTATATAAAGAGTATAATGATAAGTAATATTATAAGTAGCAAGCCTACATGATTCCACAATTAAGGCAATTTCAGTGAATGCTCTGGAAACCACTGTGAGTTGTTTGTATACAGAATCTACCTTACTACATATAAGGGTTAGAAGAATGTAGTTTAATCCTAGAATGTCCTTTAATCCTAATAATACAGACTACAAATACAGTAGGTTAAATTATAGCATGTTGCCTTATTTTTTTTAGCAGTTTGTATTTTTTACTACTCACACTGTGGACTGAGAAATACTGGACTCTTTTACCTCACTATACGTGAGAATCTAGGATGGAAAACATTGCTAATGATTCACTTTCTCCTCCAGTGCCTGGTAATAGTCCTGACTCAGCAGGCTATAATGAGTATTAAGTTAGAGCCATGTTTTGGAATAAAAGAAGCAGTACTTTGTATGATAAAGCAGCACCATATATCAAAAGGTATTCTTGCATTCAGCTAACTTTTTCTCATGTGACTATTCTGAAGTGCAGTTAGTAGGCCTGATGTTATCACGACAAAAATATAACTTCTGTGTCATTTCATACACACATACGATTCTTGAATGAGATGCAAACATACTGAATAACTTTAAAACCTCAAATTATATTACAGCTCTTCTGCTGTGGCCTACAATATCAAGAAACTCCAAATCAGGCATTTTTATTCAAAGGACTCCTTGTAAACAGATGCTGAATGAAGTTGTTGGATACATAGGAAATTACTTTTGTTTAAGATTACAAATGTACTAACTACTGTGGTTGTGTTTCAGAGAAGACTTGAGATTAAATTCCTAAGTGTTCTTAAAAGTTACAAACACTAAAGCATGGCATGCACTGTAAAAAACAGAATGTACTGACCAGCATTTCACTATCTGACCAATGAAGGGGAAAGTCACTTTCTTTAACTAGGTAATGAAGCCTGGCAACATCAAAGAGACTTGATTCTTGCTTTCCACTGTTCAGAACGGGCTCCAGGAATTTCCAAAATGTTTCCAGGTCTTTCTTAGCTTCATCTTCCTTTCTTTTCTCTGCTTCTACATCTAAAATATATGAGTATTTGACAAATCATGGTACAATGTCTCCCTTTAACATAAAGCACAATCATGTAACTGTCTACTCTAAGTATTGTTAAAGTATTTCCATCCTCAGAGTCTCAGCAAATATCTGACACCCAGCCTGGGGATTAAAAAATACCCCCACTTATATCTTGCCATCATCTTCTATTCCAAGTACAGTCATTGATCCTAAAAGGAACCTGAGAGGCTCATCTGGTAAAACTCCTCTGCACAAGCAGGGTAACCAAGGGCAGACTGCCCAGCACCACGTCCAGATGGCTTTTGACTACCTTCAAGAATGAAATTCCATGACCTCTCTGGGCAATCTGTGACAGCGTTCAGTCACCCTCACAGTAAACAAGCATTTCTTTGTCTTCAGGTAACAGCCCCTGTTTCAGTTTTGCCATTGCCTCTTGTCCTGCCACTGAACACCACTGAAAAGAGCCCAGCTTCCTTTTCTTTGCACATTCCTTTCAGGCATTTATACACATGGATGAGTTCTCCCCAGGCTCTTTCTTCTCCACGGTAAACATTCCCAGCTCTCTCAGCCTCTCCTCACATGAGAGATGCTCCAGTCCTTTGAACATACTTGTGGTCATTTGATGGACTCTCTCTGGTAGCTCCATATCTCTCCTTTATCGAGGAGTCCAGAACTGGACACAGAACTCTAAGTGTGGCCTCACCAGTGCAAAAGAAAATTAAAATCCTTTGTCCTAATGCAGCCTTGGATACCACTAGCCTTGTTTGCTACAAAGGCACAGGGCTGGCTCACGTTCAGCTTAGGGCCACCACCCCTGAGTCCTTCTGTGCAGAGCTGCTTTCCAGCCAGTCAGCCCCCACCATGAACTGGTGCAGGATTTAGCCCTTGCCAAATTTTATGAGGTCCTGCCAGACCATTTCTCCATCCTGTTGAGGTCCCTCTGAAAACCAGCACAATTCTGTGGTGTTTCAAGTTTTGTATCATAAGAGTACTTGCTGAGGGAACTCTTCTGATCACTAACAAAGATGTTCAGCTGAACTCATACCACAAATCCCCTCTGATACCTTCTAGGCTAGGACATTCAGCCAGTTTTCAATCCAACTCAGTGTTTCCTTACTCAGATTCTTTATGAGAAGACCGTGCCAAAGGTCTTACTGAGTCAGGGCAGACAATATTCACTGCTTCCTCCTCCTCTACCAAGACAGTCAATTTGTCATAGAAGGTTATCAGGTTGGTTAAGAATGACTTTCATTGGCAAATCCATGCCAAATGACCAACTCCTTGTCCTTCATGTGCCTGGAAATGTTTCCAGGATTAGCTGTTCTATGATCTTCCCAGAGACTGAGAAGAGTTTGAGTGGCCTTTAGATTCCTGAGTCATTCCTACCATTTCTGAAGATAGGAGTGATGCTTTCCTCCAGTCTTCAGGCATGTTTTCCAATTGCCATGTTTTTTCAAAAGTAATTAACAGTGGCCTTGCTGTGACACCACAGCCAACCCCACAGTATGCCTGAGTGAATCCCATAAGGTCCCATGGACTTATGTGTGCCCAGTTTGTTTAAGTTTAATTCCTAACTCAAACCTTTTCCATCAAGAGACTTTCTCCAGCCTTTCACCCTGTCTCTGAGGCCTGAAAATTCCAAAGGCAATTTATGATCAGAACCACGTTTTCTTCTTTCAAGATCCTTTAGCCAGTTCTTATAGGGAGGCTGTATGCTGGATTGAATAGTTTATTGGTATCTTTTTTGCACTGTAGAGTCCATAATTCTTTTCTTATGACAGCCAAGTAGCAGGGAATAACTGCCTCCCTTGATCTGCTGGCTATGTCACTACAGCTCAGGACAGGCAGCTATCACTGATGACACATATTTAGCTTGCTGCTTACCAGGATCCCAATTCAAGAAAGGTGTTAATAGCCTTGGGACAGCTGAGTATAATTACAGGGCATTATTCTGTGGCATATTCTCCTGTGGCTGGGGCCACAGACCCAAAGCAGTCAACTGTTCACTTCCTTTGAAATTACCAAATGAGCCAAGTTTTCTTACTAGTACACTTCCTAATAATTCACAGAAGTATGCATTTGATAAAACATTCTTTGGTGGCCACTGCAGCTGCAAACTCTGCCTGCTTAGTCAGTCCCTCTTTCTACTGTCCAGTTTTTGTACTGGCAAACCATTTGGTTTGATGGCCAACCAATGGCAATACTACTTTGGCACTGGCAAACACAGCTAGCAAGCACAAACACAAGGCATGGAGAGGGAGAAAAACACAGCCAGAACAGTCATTCCCTGGATATAAAATTATCTCCTTTTAACATATATTTTTTTTAATGACCACATTACCTTCAGGTAAAATTGAAGATTGTCTTTCAAGTTTTGTTGCTTTTAAGTGTATCTGCAATGGTTTGTAATTTTCAGAAGAAATTTGAATTACACTTGAAATGTTAATTCCAAGGTCAGTCAAGATGGGCAACAACTGAAGATTGGGGAAACCCAGAATGATAAAGTAATAATGAGCACCATCATCTGGTTCATCATCTGTTCAAAACAGAACAAAAAGAAATTGGAGTAAGAACATTCATCAGCTAAAAAAATTAATTTTTTACTTGACTATATGAGGTTATGCAAATGAAAGTCAGAGAAACAGTTCTTTTATACTCTCATTGGGAAAATTACATATAAATCCAAAAATTATGTGCAAAAGATTCAGGTCTTCTGCACCAAACCACTTAGAACACAGCAGGAAGAATATAAGTCAGAAGTAATAACTTTTTGGAGAAGGACCAGGAGAAAAACTGCAGAAGCTGATTATAATCAGAATGTTGTAGCAGCATTTCTGTAATTGCTCCTCTCAAAGGAGTTTAGTGTCAGGACATATCCACATGCTTTAATGGTAGTTTAAACTATCCTATTTCATCATGCAAAAAGCTGGACATGGAGCATATAAAGAGTAAGTTACTCCATCTTACATGGAAGATTTCCCAAATCCTCCTTACCCAGCAGGCTCATGTTCACTAGATGTACTTCTTGGCAAAATCCTCATCAGCTGGTAATACCAGCTCACACTAGTCCTTTTAGGTGGCAGGGGCATATCCAAATTCATATTAAAATGCATATGAGGAGTTCCATTGAGTGCTGTTCTATTTGGGCTTATCAGTTATGTAGAAATATGCATAGCAACATTTCAGTACCAAAGCAAAAGGTTAAGCATGATATAAGTAGAAATGAACTCTCCAGAAGCTCTAGAGTTGTGTAGTTTCCTCTTATGCCTTATGGAGAAATACAGGTAGTAACACAGGTAACAGGTGATTTAATTCATCCAGTACAGTTATTTATCCTAAGTTAACAGAAACTGTCTGCTGGAGGTCCTGTATCTCTCCATCAGTGCTGAAAGACATAGAGTTATTGCAGACAAACATACACTAAAAGCAAATTGCAGCTTTATACTCTATTCAGCATTAAGATCCTTTCTTATGCTTACTAACACACCACATGTCCAAGTGCTTTACTGACTCCTCAGCTTGTGGGACTCATTTATCCAAGGAAGGAAAAAAGGTAGCCTGGCACTGACATCTGCCTGTGCTCAGATATATGGCCAGGGCTGTGCAAATGCTGCTACCACCTGGAGCAGCAGGCTCTCTGTTGGTCATAATATTAGCTAAACATAAAATAACACAGAAATTTAGAGAGAGATTGACTGAGGAAGCAGCCACCATAGTCCAGTACATATATTGCACAAAGCAAAAATCAAAACCAGAAGAAAACCAGCTTATTATTTCACTCCTAGTACAGAAAATGAAGTACATAAATTTATGTCTCAGTTTCTGCAGGAAGAAAAAGTATGAACACATACAATTACTGAAAATTAATTATTTTTAACAAAAAGACAGGTGTCTGCACAGTCACTTACAGAGATCCAAAAATTCCAATGCATACATGCTGAAGACTGCCTTTCATTTTAAAATTATAATTATGATTATACTAATAATCATGACAAGTGCATAACAATCAGTTCTAATTATCAGTGACTAGTCCATATGCAAAAGAGGAAATACATCAATGCAAGTAATCTCAATATTACTCAAAAGCAGAAATATTTGATTTCAGAAAGGTGATAATCTATTAGGGATGAATGCTAAAATGACCGCTAGCTACCAGAAACAGATTAGACTGTCTTAGAATTTAAGGCATGCTCTTTTTTTTTTTTTTTTTTTTTTTTTTTTTTTTTTTTTTTTTTTTTTAATACAGCTATATTAGAACAAATATAAAGAGGTGAAGCTTAGATTGGATGTAATGAAAAATTTCTTCACTGACAGGGTTGACAACTCTGTCAGCTGTGTTTTTAACTATAGCATAGGGAGAAAGCCACCTTTGGATACTGAGACATTTAATTATTTGAAATTTTTCTCTAGGATAAGTTTTCTGTAGGATTTGTTTGGCTACTTTATTGTAGTCTTACATATGCTCAAATACTTTGATGTTGACATGCCACATAAAACTAATCTGTATTTTACTTCTTGGACTGCACAATCCATCCCAACACTGAGCAGAACACAGTGCCCTCTTCAAATGCAAAGTGGCAAAATTCTGATATTGCCAAATAGATCTGGACTTTTCAACATGCAACAAAACAAACTATTCCAAAGGTTTATCAGGAGTACATAATCATATTTTACATACCAATGTATTTGTCTTTCACTTCCACTTCTCCCCGTTGTTTGAATTTGGTCTCCTTTCTAACAGGGGATGATGACACTGATTTTTTTCCTTTACTGTCTTTGCCACTTGTCCTGTCAGGAGGGTCAGCTTTTTCTTTTTCTCCTGCTTTCTCTTTCTCTTTTTGCTGCTGTTCTGCCTGACAAGATAAATAAATGAAGTTCTCGTTAAAGCCTTTGTGCAGAACAAAGGTCAGACTGCTGTAAAACTTTAGGTGTTCAATTTTTTTATTTTCACACTTTTCCCTCTCAGCTGCTATAATATTCATGTGGTGGAGCTGTCTAGAACACCCTGCTTTTTCCTACTCAAACACATATTCAATTATTTATATGTTCTTACTCAGTCATAATGCTAAGACTTCACATTAAAAAGGAACTGCAAGAGGTAGGTAGACATTATAACTACCAAACTAACAAAATGCATATGGGTAGAAAGATGAGTAAAAAACCCTGTGCTTTTGTTACTTCCACTACAGCACTTGCATCGGCCAGAAACCTTCCTTGGACTGAAGGGAAATATGGCAACAATTCAATACCTGTTAATATCCTTTAACATCTCTGTTAACACTCTTGACTATGGTGTAAAATGGTACCAGCACTATTTTTCTTTGATGTAAATATCTGTCTAATGTAAACTAGAACCAAGAGTTGTGCATTCATTTCACACAGGATATTACTCAGCCATTCTCATTATCTTCAAAAAAAAACCACCTACATAAAGCTCTTCCTAGTAATTTAAGAGTACAGGACAAAAAAAAAATTTTTTAAGTGTCCCAAAGTCTCACACTATAAATCCAAAAAAAAAATTGAGAGTTGGTCTGAAATGAAAACAATAAAAAAAAAATTAAGGTAAAGTAGGTTCTGTAGAGCAATAAAGTGTCCACCTTATTTTTGCCCAGTAGAAATACTACATTCAAACTATGCAAAAATTATACTTCAGGATTATAAAGCTAAATTAAATAAAATAAAAATATTAACTTAACTTACAGTTACAATTCTGCTGATGTCACTTTAAAGGCTATTAAAGCAATTAGGAAAGCCCTTCATGCAAATGAGAGAGGGCAGTTAACTCTATAGAGTTGCTTTCCCTAGATCCAGCTGAAAAGCAGACTTTCCAGCTGTGCAAGTTGTATTAAGTTCAAATTCAAAATCAAAACAGAAAATCTTTTCCTGCTTTTCCCTTCCTTCTTGAATTTCCTTTCTGTAAAATTTAGAAATGTCTTTGACAGAATCTTGAAACTATTTCCACTGTGTAATGAAGGATTTGGAGGTTTTCATTATTTTCTTTCAAATTTGTTCTACCTTTGACACTTCAAATTAGAAATACTGATAGTACTTCTTTGAATTCTAAGCTGATGAACACATCAAACAGATGATACAATCATCATGCCACAAAGTTCACAATCAACTTGATCTATTGCATCTGCATAATTTTAAGTAATTCTTAAATAAGCAGAGGCATTTCTGGACTTGCCAAGATTCTAACAAAGAACATTACTTGACCTAAATACTTTAGAAAGTAAAAGCCTCTCCTTTCTTGGACTCTTCCCTTTTCCTTTCAATGTCATATTTCTCCTTCCCTACAAGGTGAAGCTTTCTGTGGAGTTTCTAATAATCCATTACCTTCGGCAATTTTGTTATTTTAAGCTACACATTTCAAAACGTTACTACCTCAAACAGTTTTCTGATTCAGAGACACTTCTTCTCTTCTACATAATATTTATGCATATCAATTTATGGCAAGCTCCTGCTCCTAATGAAATACAGGATGCCTTATTTTTGGTTATTTACATGCTGTATTCGTTCTGCTGATCCATTCTATTAACTGGTATCTATTTAAGAAAAAGATCCATGGACAGATATGTTTGCTTTCTGAGAACTGATTTGCGAGTAATATCCTGTTTTCAACACCCAGATTGTTGGCAACAGAACTTGTATTGTACAAGCTAGTTGGAAAGGATTAAAAATTCTATGGCAGCCAATTTAGAGATAGAACTCTAAATTAGAAGTCAGTTTCTGCCCACTCTGTACTGCAGAGCGTTCTCATATCCAAGAGCCTTCCCAGTCTTGATTCTGTCCTTCAACGGCTCCACTTGTGTTTGCCTGTCACACATTGATATAGATACAATTCAAAGGAGGTGACAACTTTTGCAGATGGTTTGGCTAAAACAGAGAAGTAACTGTAAGTGCCAGAGACTCTTCAGCCTTCAACATTGACCATCCTCCAATTAACCAGGGAAATAAAATTACAGTTACAAGACTAATTTTGCTAAATCAAAGCTCTAAAGACTCCATTTTAATACTGAATTGCTGTTAAACTTCAAAGTTTTGTTTGACAGTTTACTTATAAGAATTGACTGCTATCTAAGAAAAGTGCTACTTTTTCTCAATTCACTATTAACAATCTATTCTACAGCTTCAGCCTCTCGATTTCTTTTCAGATTGAAAACACATTATTCTTCTCATATTCTTAATATATTTCTGTGGTTTAAATCATCATTTCCTAATAAACTGACTTCTGTGGGAACAGGACACAATTTTAATGGAATCATCTAGCATTTAACGTTCTTGTGTTTGTATGCTACACTTCATCCACCAACTACTCCCACAAGCAAAACTATTGATAAAGAAATTTACAGTCTTTTCAGCCATACAAAATCCATTAAACTATTTTCTGCTTGCATCTTTTACATGCACAGACTGCTTAGGTCTCCATATCAGCACACTCCACATTACAGATTTTGATCAATTAATAGGGTAAACTTACTGCAGCAATTGTATGACTTTCTGTTAATTAACTGACTTTCTTCAGTTTCATGAATGTTTGTTGGAAAAGGACTAAAACAAAACCAACTGTTCAGTAAGTTGTTGAAATGTACCACTGACAGCTCCAAAAGATGTTAGAAATTAATTAGAGGTCTGATCTGTGATTCTGTGCAAGCTTGGTGAAATTTCTCCTAGAACAAATAAGCAATCTGTCCGAGACAATCTTGGAGGTAGTAGTGACGACCTTGGACACAAATGGAAGCAAGTTTTGGGAACACTGAAAAATGTGGTACCTGGTTCTGCGAAGTGGACTTCAAAATATGTACTGTTTTGAAAGGGTTCAGAGGAGAGGAACATGCATAATCAAAACCGAACAACCACGGCACATATTTGGGTTTGTTTAGTTTAATGTGTAATAGATTTCTGTATAAGGGAATGTAATGTTGTCCCCATGCACTCAGAGAACTCAAACAGATTTAAGTGAGAGTAGGGTTGGTAGGATCAGAAACCTTTTTCAAATGCGCGCGTTGCAGAGATGGTTCAGAAATAATACTGGTTGCCATGGAAAAGCAAAGACACAGCACTGGAAAGTTTTAAGAAAAGGTTCAACAAACATCTGCCAGGAATAGTTTATGTGAATATTATCCTGCCTTAGTGGCGGAGGATGGAAGAGATAACTTCTCCAAATTCCTTCCAGAGAGGAGATTCATAACAAGAACTCCATCATAGTCTGCTCTGTGACTATCCTTGATAACTCCCAAGTAACAACCTCTCCTACCTTTACTTCAGCAGGGATACATTCAGCAGGATCCTGTTCCTGGCTCTGTTTTCCATTGGTCTTAACACTCAGCTAAGCTATTACTAGCTCTCACTCTAGGAAAGACTTCTTCCATAGTGTTTTTATTTTTTTTCCTCATGCTCTCATTGGCATTTGAGTAATTGAGAACTTCATGCACAAAATCTAATCAACTTTAAAAAATATTTCTAATCACATTTATATTTAATTACAGTTTTAGAAAGCCAAAGATGAGAAGAAAGCTGGATTTATGGAAGCAACACCATAGAAATGTCTTCAAAAATGTAATGTTACTAGGGCATACTATAGTACCTTCTTTTCCTCTTCTCTTCTCTGAAGAGCCTTCTGTTTGAGACAAAGCAATTGAAATTTCAACAGCTTTCCAGTTAGTGTTACAGGAATTTTTTCACCCTGGTCCAGAAATGCTTTGGCTAATTCCATCACCTACAAAGGAAAAAAAAAAAAATCACAACAAAACGACTACTTGCATGGCTTTAATACTGCACTAGACTAATATTTATTTGCATGCTGAAAAGAGCAAGTGCTATCTCATATTGTACCATGTACGGGTCAAAATGGCCACATTTCCAGAAGAAACAATGTACCAGTAAGATACACCATTATTCTTCGGCTCCCAAGACCTCAAATAAAGTGGTATCACCTGTAGTGTGCGATAAAACTAGAATGGAAAAAACCTTCTATGATTTATGAGAAACTCAACAGACACAGAGTTCTCACAGGAAAATGTAATTCTCTTTAGGTTTTAAACAAAGAAACAACATTAAGCAACTACATATTATAAAGCAATAAATTAAAAAGCACCTAACAGATAGCAAATCAAGGGGAATAGTTTCCAGTACTGTTTACAAAGTGACCAGTGTCTGAGGGACTAGCCCTAAATGAAAGATAAAAACTTCTTGAAGGGAATTTGAGAGGGTCTGTCTTGGTGAAAACACACCCCCTCCCTGTGTCATTCTGATTCTGTTGGTATGCAGCCTAATTGGGGTGAAATAAGGCTATTGAGTTTTCTTAGGGTGATGACAGCAGCGGGAACATACAGCTGCATTGTCCAGATGTGTGGCATTGACAGGCTGTTTTATGACTATGTTTTTTACAGCTTGTTTCCACTAAATTTCATACAACTCACTAACATCTGGGCCGTTTTCCTTGGAGCCTCATAACCACTTTATTTACTGCGAAAAAAATAAAATAACATAAAAATACCGTTAAAAAGTTGTTATATGTTTCTTTTCACTTGTGTTGTCTCTGTAATAAAGTTCACCTACGTAGGAAGCGCTGCTGAGGAATAATATAACCATAATATTTTCTTACTTTTGTTTTTAAGCAACCATCAGCTTTATTTATAACCATGGGCTGAATTAGGTGTTACTCAAATGTTCTGACATGTTTCTCTTTTCTCCTCATGGAGCAATTACAGTTGGGCACATATGGTGTCAATTTTGCTTGCTAGCACTGAGACAATGAAGGTGCACACTGCATCTCACTGAACTGTGTCTTGTCTAATGCAAACACCACCATTAGCTTTGAGCTTCCATAGATTCTAGCCTAGTTTAGAAATGTTCACTTCTCACCTAAATGCAGCCACTATAATGCTTCTCTGAATAAGGCAAAGCCAAATCAGAATCCAGACCATTATATGCCAAATCATCGTTTCATGCAAATGAAAGCAAGGAGCAGAAAAAGAAATGTCCTAAAATTCAGATCTTTTCCAAGTCGCTTAAGAGGGAGACAAACCAAAACATATGCATTTCAAAACCCTTCTGAAACAATCCTACTCCTGCAACACAAATAAATCTAATGATCTTAACATACACAAAGGAAGATACATCATGATTAAGATAAGTTTTGCTTTGCATGTTTTGTACTCAAAATAAGACTGGTCACTAGCTCAACAAGCCAATCATAGAAGGCTTCTGGAAAGACACACTGACATCAGAGCCACAGCACAAAGTCAAGGACATGTTAAGAACAAGACTTAAAAATTACCACACACTTGTGGGCACACTAGGAGGTACTAGTTATTCTAACAAAAAATAGTCACCCAGCATAAATCGGTGCTCTGAAAGAAAAAGATATTGGTAGAAATACTGTATCAGTAATTTCCCTCAGAGAGAAAAATTCTCATGAAGGTTTTGTTTTGTTTTGTTTGTTTTTTTACTTCAGAATTGATGTTAACAACCTATGGAAAGTGATGCTTCTCACTGGCCTAATGCAGATGAGTTGCAGATTTCTTGAAACACAGTAGAGGGGAAATTGAGGGATTCTGGAAGGATTATTGAAAAGTGTATATATAGTAATGGCAGTTGCTGATTTATTGTTCATGGAAGAAGAAAAAAGTGCTTAGATTCTTAAACCCCATTCTTCCTGAGAATTTTAAATCATTTTAAAATTAAATTAAAAGCAGTCAAAAGTAATGCATAATAATTATTCTTATTTTGTAGATAGAAAATACAGGAATGAAGAGACTTGATGAAGTAGAGTGGGTAGGAAGGACAAATTTTCTTATGTGAGCCATGAGAAGCATAACCAAAACTACTTAATAGGAATCCATTCCATGACTGTGGAAAGAGGTCACTAAAACAAAGACAGAATGAGTGCACTACATTTTGCAATACAAAGAAAGCAAACATCTTTTCATGCAGGAATGTAAAATATGCTTTATACAGGAGGAAATTAAAACTAATCCTAAAGACAGAACACAGATCAATCCATGCACAGTAGATAAAAAGAAATTAAATTTATTACACATCCATATTTACTTCATCTGTGGTCCTGTGAGTTATGCAGGCACCTGGCATAAACAGTGAAAAATCTACAGAGCCTCAAGTGAAAAAAAAATACCAAACAAAAACCTCAAGAAAAAAAAACGGGGTAGGAATACAGAAGGAAGTTTTTCAGCTGCTATGAAGTGGATTTTTTACAGATTGGCTATACTTCATCCCACCAGTGATGATCTTTTTCTTATGTGAGAAACCATGGAAACTTGGATGGACAAACTTACTTAGGTAGGACCTCTTTTCCTCTAAAGCAAGAGGAAACTTAGCATTCCTCACACAGCAGGGGTCACACTGGTGAAGTGCAGAAAGGCTTTGGTGATGCAGTATTTGATCTCATACGGTGGCAGTATGAACCACACAGAGATTTAGCTGTCTGGTGCAAAGGGCATGCATTTGGAGCCACCCAAACACTGTATGAGTGCTTGTAAGTGACCCTACACTACTGACAGATGTCAGCACCATTGAGATAGGAGATAGGTCTTAAAAGTTAGGGAAACATTTCAAGCCAGAGTCTTTGTGCTATCTTTCTTTGAAATGCCTTTTTTTCAAGATACGGAACAATTGTGGCCGCCAAATTATAATCAGAAAACCTTCCAAAATATAAATTGGATTATAAACTTTCACAGCTTTATTACTACCTGGCAGCAGTAGCATTGCTTGCTATGAACAGAGGACAGCCCACTTCACAGTATAGTTCTCCCATACCCAGAGTGAGCTTTCTAAAGCCCTCTCTTCCCTCTTGTTCTTGAAATTGTAAGAAATCCAGACCATCACATATGCCTCAGACTCATATAACACTTCCTAAAAGAAACATAATAATTCCTAGAAGAACCAAATAAGTAAAATCCCTTAGCTGCTGACACAGTTCAAGCTAATTTGAAGCAGGATAGTCATCAGTCAAGAGGCTCTACGGATTACACAACCAAGCTGGTAATTACTATTCAGATGCATTTTCCTGAGCAAAATAATAAAAGCACAGGAAAAAAGTGATCTTGACTTATTACAATCTGCTGTCAGTCTTATGAGTCCTTCACAAGCAACTTTTAAGACAGAATAGGGGACGAAAGCTGCATGAGTCATACTGATAATTTATTTTTAAAAGAAGTATCTTTACATATACTATTAAATATTTCTGACTCTGTCAATGTTATTTCATTGACTAAAGCATACTACAAGCAATCACTTTGAAAGAATACCAGGAAGGACCTGAGCTAACCGAAATAACTTTTTTTTCAGATGACGCCTCCAGTGTGTTGAAAGAATCCAGTTTCTCATATTAGGCAATTCACCTAACTTCATTTTAACTCAGAACCTCTTCCCACCCCCATATGATGTCAAAAGACCACTTGTTTAATCATTATCTTTCACTACTGAATTAATGACTCACAGTTCAAAGAGAGCTTAAGGACTCACATAAATCAAGAAATCAATTGCATATCTGAGCAGAGCTCCATATAACACGTAAGTATCCACAAGGTAGACTGTAAAACCTAAGATAAGCCAAATGAGTCATCCTTGTTACTCAGTGAAGATGTATTCCAAAGAATGAAAATAATTAAAGTGGGTTTGATGATTCCTTGTACCCCATGGAGTCCTTTTCAACTAAACCTACTAAAATGAAGCAATACTGAGCAAATATGAATGCTGTTCATGTGCTAAATATCTTCCTTTCTATTGTGAGAACATTTCTCAAAGCAGAAGCAAATGGCTGCTTGTACTGTAGAAAAATAACTTGTCACTCATCTGAGTGAGTCTGTTTTTTGCCAAAACACAACACAGCTTGATCTGGTTAGCAGAAATCTATCAGAATTATCCATTGTAAGAAAGTCTGTTCTCTAAACCCCTCTCTACAGAAAATCTGCAACCTGAGGGAATATTTTAACTGATTTAATCTCAGGGATGTCTGTGAGAATTTTCTAACACACATGTACAGCGTTATGTCAAGTATGTATACAGTGTTTTAAGAAAAACAGAAATGGTGAATAACCTAATTTCAGTAAAAATGAGAAAATACATTACAAAAAAATAAGGAGAATTTCATTAGAGAGCTCATACAGGAGCTCTCACCATCTGGGATGTGCACCTCCTATGGCTCCCTGACCATTAGCTGCTACGAAAACCCAACTGCTTTAAGGGATACAAATATCCAGTGATTGGAAAGATCAGGCAATAGGTGATTGGAAAGATCAGGCAATAGCATTGCTAACTCAGGAAGGAGTTCTATGCACAGGGAAGGTTTTCTCACATGACCTTTCATATATCCGTTTTCCTTTAACACTGATTGGGGAGCAATAGTTGAAACAGCATTTAAGTGATTTCAGAAGAACCCCTACAGAACCCAGACCCTTTTAGAAAAAGAGGACAGGCCAGCCTGTTGTGATTTGTGCTTAGATGAAGGGATATATTGCTATGATCAAATACTGAAATATTTACATTTCAGTGGGATGAATCTGCCCAGCAAATCTTTCCATTATGGCACAGAATATTTTAAGCTTCTGAGAAGTAAATTGTCTCCAGCAATTTCAGCCAACTGAATCCACACAATGAACATCACAAAGCTAAAAGATTTAGTCACGCTTCTCTAATACTGCATCTGGCTAGGAAGAGAACCCAATCAGAGGTGGAAGAAAAAGATCAAGACACAAA